ATGTTGGACATAACTTGGTGAAGGCTTCTCTCACCAGATATTCTATCTGCTACATAAGCAGAAGCTTTAAGTTCAGAAGAACTCAAGGTACAGATCAGTTTTTCAGAGGGAGTGTGGACCTGATATGAGTTTATTTCATCCCTCCAATCTCTTAGAGCTTCCAGTCACTCTTCTACAGCCTTGAGTAGAGATTATTAAGCATAGATTATACCTTACCCCAAGCCAACCCTTGATCTTCTTCAGTGGTTTTATGTGGTTATTGAACAACATATCAGAGAAGACCAAGCTCTATGGCATTCCATGCAAGAGGGGACAAGGACTTGATCACTCTTTCTCTTTGATTACTCACTGAACTCTCTGCTCTGAAAGAAATGGAACCATTGTAAGACAGTCTCCTCCCACTTCAAATCTCAAGGGATACAGAAGGACACATGCTTGATTATAAGAGGTTTTATAGGGTTATGGAAACCTCACCTCCCCAGGCTTGGTTGGGTTTTCTGCAAGGTGATCAGCTTGGACGTTCTTATTCTTTACCCAAAAGGCCTGTAATAAGGCATCAATTGAACACAAGCAATTCATATCACAGAATTCAATGTGATACAAGTCTAAAAACCTGAAGAACCAAATGAGACTGAGGATTATGAGAGATGAAATCCAATGATTCTGGAGCCAGAAGGCAATAGGTTAGAAAAGGATGTTATAAACTGATCACATCATGAGCTATAATATAACAACCTCATAAAGGCTAAAGACATCATAACTGCTATAACAGAAGAGCAGAATAAAATATTAATATAAAGTTTTAAAACCATGTTAAAACCCCTGGGAGTCCATACATAGGTACCAGCCTGGGGCAGAAAATAGGTCTGGATTCTAATTCAATGCAAAGCAAAAATCCAGTGTAGAATGAGATAATACAAACTGTTTCTTAATCTCACTTGACAATGAACAGAATGTATAATTTGTCCACTGTCTAATTTAAAATTCTTCATTGAGCTCGGCCTCCAATATATAATTTAGGATTTCAGTAGCTCAGTTGCACTGTACCAAAAGGGGGGGAAAAGTTAAAGCAGCTAGCACTTGCCAAACAAATAAATCCCACATGCTTGTAATATAATGGTAGGGAAAACTGAAAGTGAGAACAATCAACCAATGGAACACCTTGCCCTCAGAAGTTGTGGGAGCGCCATCACTTGAGACTTTCAAGAAGAGATTGGACTGCCATCTGTCAGAAATGGTGTAGGGTCTCCCGCTTGGGCGGGGGGTTGGACTAGTTGACCTACAAGGTCCCTTCCAACTCTGATAGATAATCATTATTTGTTATCTGAATCTGGTAGATATTATTCCTATTATCCAAATTTCAGTTAAGGGAAAATTGAAATATGATGGGAAAGGATTGGAATACAACGTTTCATCATGATTCTTTGTAATGTCCCAGAATTTTGTACAAAAAGCTCTTTCCTAAACCAGGAAGATTGGAGACCAGGCAAAAGTTGTCTAATGTAGCAAATAACTGGCACCATTCCCTTTGCCAAGACTGAAGAAACAATCATACCATCCTTCCCCGCCTGAATTTATAGGTTTCAGTATTCATATTAAATATGAATACTGCAACCTATGCATTGAGGTGGGCAAGGGGAATATTTCCCCTTTTGGAATTTATGTTTAGACACATCCCAGATGACATTACAAGACTTTCTGCTGCCATTGTACTGAAACAGGCCAGGCCAGAGGAATGTTAGCATCTTTTTCAGCAAAATCACTAAGTGGCTCAGTGGGAGAACCTTGCGCTTAGGGGACAGATTATCTGAGGACTATTATCAGATGACATTCTGTGATACAATAAGAGTGAGAAGTACTGATTCTTTACTTCCTGGACTTTTCCGTTCTTCCCTACCTTTTCTCCTTTCTTCACATACCTGACTTCTTTTTACAACTACGCAGTCTTTCCACTTCAAGTCAAATAGAGCATCAGAAAGTCAACAATCTGTAATAGATTCGTCCTTTGGAAATCTTTTACTCTCTGTTTAAGAATCTACCAATGAGGATTTCATAGTGACAAAAAGCTCTAGAATGGTGCTGCCTTCTCAGTGCCTTTTTAAAAAAGCCTTTATAAACTGGGTACTAGTTGTGGGCTTCAATTGCTTTGTGCTTTCTTTTAGGCTTGCTTCTGTCCATATGACCTTAGAGAAGTCATGAAGGGACCACGATGGCAATTGGTACTACTGATAACTATCACCCTGACCTTTATAGGGCTGCCTAATCTGATATAAGAGGCCTGGTGATGGGAAAGAGAAGTCTTTACACAATCATTAAACAAGCTATGGCTTAGTGCAACATTTGCATTTGCTTTCCTGCAGATTTGAGATTGGAGAGTACTCAAAGAAAGGCTTGTTTCAATTTGTCATGTTCCAAAAGTAAGCTTTGTTATAACTCATGAAACACCCAACATAAAAGAACTTCTTGAAGAAATGAAACAAAAACTTAAAAAATATTTTTTTAGCTCCAGGCTTTTGATTTCTCAATGACTTTCAACAATGAATTCCAACACTTAAAAGCAAATAATCAGAAACAGATTTCCCATTGTACAAGAAACAAGCACTTATAAGGGACAAGGTGTGAGCTAGGGCCAAACATGAAAGTCTATGTGATTGTAGTCACATTTCCTCCCTGACAATTATCTACAATCTTGACAAGAACTATTGAAAAATACATGGAAAGAACACATGCTGGTCATAGCAGGGGTGTATCTAAAAACAATGCCCTACATTCAGTAATATATTTTATTTATATATTAAAAGTGGTCTACTCCATTCAGGGACTAAGAAAGATCCCAAGGTGCAAGCAATTCAGCATAAAAACACAGTAATACACTATTTTTGTATGATTAGTTTCAAGAAATCTGAACATTAAAAGTTATTATATACCCACTCCAACAATTCAAGATTTGGTTTTTGAAATATTATAGCCAATTCTATTCAGTGGATGTTGCACACATTTTCTTTAAAGATAGTAAAATTAAATAGGAATCTTCACTGGTAAGTAATTTTAACTGTATACCATAATAAATATTGCTACAAATAATCCTTGACTTAACAATCTTTTGTTCAGTGATGATTGAAATCGCAATGGTGCTGAACAAAGGGACTTAACGACCTGTACATGAAATTATGGCTACTGTAGCATCTTCATCATAATGTGAACAAAATTTGGGGGCTTGGCAATCTGTTTACAACCAACCATATGGATTTTGCTACACTCCCTGCCTATTTTTCCACCTATCCCATCCTGCTAGTCTCTGGGACCATTTGGCTGGGATCCATAGGCCTTGGACCAGCTTCCTGTCCTGCTAGGTCCCACATTATCTCCTCCCACCATACACACACCTCATCACGTTTCACTTCAGTTTTCCAAAAATTGCTTCAGAAAAGAACAAAACAATCCCACACATGGCCTTCTTTTATAGATGTGGCATGATGCCATCCCAAAAGTGGGCACCATTTTAGAAGATGACACAATTTTCAGCTTGCATAGCTTCATTAAAAAGGAACTTCACCTTTCTTCCTTTAACTGATAAAAGTTCAAAGATTATCTAATTGTATAACCATTTTAGAGGTTTATATTACTTAGTATGTCATAAAGGGTAATAAAAGAAGCCTGTGTAATCAAATATTTCATAACCAGTATTGGTTAATATTTACCTGAAGGAGAGAAAGCCTTCATATTAAGCCTAGAATTCAGAATTTTAAAGGACTACATAATTCCATAAGAATTAATTTCCCAGGAAAAATAACGAAAGGAATATTTGGAACTTTTGTTTCTCAACATCTGGAAAATCACAAGTTTTCAAATCCATTTCATTCCCTGTTTACACAAAACACATAATATTGGACTAAATATAGTCATCTATCAAGAAATTTCTGAACTTATTTAAAGAGTACTCAATTTTATTTTTACATGTCCTACTTGATTCAAGATGAAGTACTCTCTTCATTATGATTTTAGGACTGGAAGTTTTATTATGCAACAATATTTGCATAATTGTACAAAATAATTGTACTGGAAACTTTATTATATTGTAGTAAGTAAGATTTGAGAAGCCTAGGTAGACTGATTTGATATATTTTCCCATAGGTTTTGCAGGTTTTACTGTAGCAATTGTAATTTTTATTTAGCAAAGTGCTAAGGCAGTTCTAATTCATTCTGTATAAAAGTTGTTAATCAGACCAATTTGATGTAGTTCCTATAAATATGTCTGGATTTTGCTATACTTTTTTGAAAAATCAGATACAGGTTGTCCTTAATCTAGGACCACAAATGACCCTAACATTTCTGTTGTTAAGTGAGACATTTGTTAAGTGAGTTTTGCCCTATTTTACAACCTTTCTTACTGCAGTTAAGTGAATAACTGAAGTTGATAAATCAGTAACCTGGTTGTTAGGTGAATCTGGCTTCCCCATTGACTTTGCCTGTCAGAAGATTGCAAAAGGTGATCTTTGGGATACACCAATGGTCATAAGTATGAACCAATTGCCAAACATCTGAATTTTGATCACATGATCATGAGGATGCTGCAAAGATTGTAACTGTGAAAACTGGTAATAAGTCACTTTTTCAGTGCTGTTGTAGCTTTGAACTGTAACTAAATGAATTGTTGTAAGTTGAGGATTACCTGTATATTTGAATTGCATCAATGACCTTTCCATAAACTATCCTGTTTTATTTTGTTTCATCTGTTGTTTGATCTGATTGATGACCATAACAACATTTCTACACTATAATACACTACAATCATCATTATGCTGTGGAAGTAAGGAAATATTTGATACAATTTCTATACAAGAATTTATTTTTGTCAATTAGTAATAGCACTTAGACTTGTATACCACTTCATAGTGCCTTAACAGATGATTTTGGGCCAACTTTCTCTATCAGCCCAACCCACCTCACAGGCTTATTGTTGTAGAAAAAAGTAGGAGGAAGCATAATCGACAACACATGAACTCCAAGAGAGAAGGGAGGCAAATAACTAGATCAATTAATAAATGTCTTAACAAGAGATTTGAAATGGACCATAGCAACACTGCTTTATCCCTGTCTTTTCTTAAGGTTATTTTTTTATTCTCCTTTTATTTATTTCTTACATAATTTCTTAGCTCAATTTTCCCTCCAAATATTTATTCTTCTTTTGTTCTTTATTATGTGTAGAAAAATATGTTTGAAAATGATTGTTCTGCTATACTCCTACCATCCACACAAACCCTCCCAAGACATTAGGACATTGATTTTCTGATCACTATTTGGAGAAACAAGTGCTGTTCTTCAAAGGCATAAGTTTAAGGTAGGGGCTTTTTTAGGGAGGAGTTGGAGGGCAAGAGTTCATAAGAGTTCATTCAAGCTTCGTTAAATATTAGTTATGGCAGAGGTGGAGATCAATTAGCATAGACTTAACTTTCCAGAGTAGAGCAAGGACAAAGGGGAAGGGCTACTGCTGACAGTTGTCTTCCACAATAAGCGGTTCCTTTATAACAGCTGGGTGTATCTGAACAAATTCTTTCGACCGATCTACAGCCTCTGATCACACCTCAATCCTTAGGCTCCGAATAATTCAAAGACAAAAGGCAATCAGTATATCCAAAAGAGTAAGTCTGTGTTTTTATCTTTTTCACTGAATTATATGGACTGTGCACTTAACTACTGTGTTTAAAAAGAGGGGGAAAGATAAGATATCTAAGTAAACTGCTATCCTAAGAGGATTCTGATAATCTCTCCTCTGCTGAACTTTCAGTAGCCAAGAATCACACTTTTTTAAAGTTTGGGCAGATGATGTTCCTATTGTTAACAAAATGAGCTATTGACAATGTCAGTGTCAACTTATGACAGCTGGAAATTATGAATTATAAAATTGTAAAAGACTTTCCATCTTTGCTGTTACTAGTACCTTTCGCTTTTTTAAAAATTTGTGTTATTTTGTCCATCGCTTCTCATTTTTCCTCTGTGTAAACCATTGTCCAATAAACTAAAGAACACCCTCTTACCTGCTAACATTATAAATTTGGATACAGGTTCCTGAAATAATATCCAACATTCTGATCTTTTAGGATTGTCCAACCACAGAAAATGTATAAATGTATGGAGCAAAAGCATCCAAGATAATGTTTTATTTAAAAATCAATCAAATTACTGAATAATGGTTTTTAATATTATTTCCATTGTTTAAAAAATTCCTATAAATTGTAAGTGTTTCTGTTCTTAGCGGCAGCATATTCCTTCCACAATCAGTTGGTTTACCATTTAATTTCCTGAAAAATTTATTTTTTCTACAGGTAGAAATGGTTTCTGAAAAGGAAGGAAAGAAACATATTAATGGAAATGTTAATGATGAGAATATTGTTTTTGAAGATGCTTCTGGAAGCCAAAAGTAGGTTTTTCCATTTTAGTTGGCTGCTTTTTTGTATTTTCAGTTGATGCATTTCTCTGCTTTATGCTGCACAATTCTTTCACTATTAGAGGCCAAACATCCATTCAAAATATACCATTTTTCAGAGCTAACTTCTATATTCAACAAATTTGTTGTAATCATGTATTATTAGCTAAACACCAATTATTTATTATTATTAAATTTGTTTGATGTCTATATTTAGCATTTCAAATTTCTTAGTATACCTTGTTATTTATCTTCCTTAAAAGGACATTGGGCTTTACTGAGCTTTCATTTTAGTTCAGTGACTTTGATTATTTTATTCTCTATTTCAGTCTTGCTGTGTTTATTTTTTTCCTTTACATTTTTCGAAAGTTTTGTTGAAAACTGCCTGCCTACAGATTTTCAACCAGAGAATTGTTTTTTTCAAAAATGAAATATTATTTAAGAAAACTTTGTGTTACTTACATTCTCCATCATCATCGGCTTCTGTCAAACTGGTGAAAGTGTACAAATATCGCTAGCTATTTATATTGCATTCATGTTTGTTTTTGGTAGCTGAGGAGATTCAGCGGGACAAACATATCAGACTTCACCACTTTGACCCTATTTGTAGATAGGCATAGATTGAACAGCTGTTGTTTTTTCTATCATATCCCTCTGGGCTAGGAAAAAATATTCCCAACTTGCACAATGCACACAGAGTTTATTTTATTTTCTTATTGAAACTAAGAACTTTGGTTTTAATAAGTTAATAAGTTGTCTGCTTCTGTTATAAGTATACACTCCAGGATCCTTATATTGGTGTATTCACACATCAGTTGAGAAATTGTAGTTCATTTAAATCCTAGCTGGCTCAAAAGTCAAAATGAGATAGTAGGCATATAATGCTAGGCAACTAGATTATAAACCACAATTGCTATATTCACCCAGCACAAAACCAAGGAAAACATATTATAGCACAGTGGGCAAACTTAGTTATCAAAATAATAAGAAAACTTAAATGCTTTTCTCCTGCTTGACAGTGTTCATGGAAAAGTTTCAGATTTAGGGAGTTATAAGTATTTGAGAACTCATTGATTTCAGTGAGTTTTAACTCACTCACTAACTTTAGATGCTTATGGTTTTATTTCCCCCAAATAAAAAAAAAACAAATTAAATTGAGTTAAAACAAGTTAAAACAAGGATCAGATTTCAACATTCTCATGTTTCAATATTGAATGAAATCAACATTCATATTTGATGCAATAGTTTGAGAATTATTACCTGGGCTAAGAATACATAAGTCACCCTGTGGTGGGATGGGCAGCAAATAAATTTAATAAATAAAATACATAAATAAGTTATACATAGTATCATAACTTAATGTACTAATAAGTAATTATTTATTTGAATCTATTATGATTTAGGTCAATTAACAGAGAATCCTGGACCAAAGGGAAAAAAATTCAAAAATAAGCAATAAAATAGCATCATATAATAGTAATTAATATTAAAATGAATTATGAGAAATAAACAATTTTGAGGTTCAAAATAAAACATAGTTCCTGACACTGTTACATTGTTTCAAATATTATGGTGTGCTATTTCTGAAACAAATTGATTTTGATTCTTTTTATCATGCTAAATTAACATTATGAAATAATGAGATTTTAAAGCATCCCAGTTGGGATCATTAGAACTTTCTTTTTCACTGACGCTTAAATTATGAGAAGTACAAATTATGTTTCTTGCTTATTATTTTAACTGTATAAATATGTTTATAGAAAAAAAATGAAATTTGACTACATATCATTTTATAGGGAAAAGAAAAAAATCAAGGAAAAAATTAATATGGTTAGCCCATTTGCAGTGGTAAGTTTTAAAATTTAGTTGTTTTATTTTGTTTTGTTTTGGTGCCCTGGAGCCAATGTTGATTTCTATTGACTGCCTGGATTAATTCTTGCAGTTTTCTTGGCAAGATTTCAGAAGTTGTTTGCCATTGCCTGCTTCCAGGAGCTGACTTGCCCAAGATACTCCCAAGGCTTTGTTTTTTAGGCAGGAATAAAGCTCTCAGCCTCATATTTCTAAGCTGCTGTTTTAACCACTACATGAGACTGGTTCTGTTTTAAAATTTAAAATTAAAATAGCAAAACTTTTTAAAAAGTGTGTGTGTGTGTGTGTGTGTGTGTGTATGTGTGTGTGCATGTTCAATAAAGCTAAATAAGAACTTTCATTCTGTGAATATAATGTGCAATTTGTTATTTGTATTTAAGCTGCTTTTTAAAGAAGGTACTGGATAATATTGTTTTAAAGCAGGGGTCCCCAAACCCCAGTCTGTGGACTGACACCAGGTAACTGGGCTGCACAAATAAACAAAGCCCTATTCGTCGGATGCAGGCAGCCTATGAAATCACGTTCCCTCTGGTGTACAGAAAAACCTCTCTTTGTGGAACTGGTCCCTGGTGACCAAATGGTCGGGGGCCACTGTTTTAAAGTATTAATATAAACCATATTATATTATGTTTGCCTAATTAATGCAAGGATATGAAAAAAATAAAAGGTCAATGAATGCTGCTTGTTAGTTGTGGAATTATCTCGTAGATATATGTGTTCTAGTTAAATGACAGTTAGCAATAAGTGGAAAATTTTTTGCCTTGTGGATCATTTGCTTTTCAGTTTCGTTACTCCGATTCCCTGGATAAATTATTAATGATAGTGGGCACTATTTTTGCAGCCCTTCATGGGGCTTCCCTTCCAGTTATGATGATTGTTTTTGGAGATATGACAAATACCTTTGTTGGATCTGGAACTATAGGTAAGAGGAGTCAATAATGTCATGAAAAGAATGCAAAGCCAGAGAGAATTGAAGCATGTATCTTTTAAAGTGGATCTCTAAGAAAACTGCCAAACATTTTGTAGGCTGTTGATTACTGGCATTGGATAGCGAAGGATTTACAAACAAGAGCATTTTATTCTTAAATTGCTGACAAATGGTTGTCCAAAATGGCATAAGGAAGAAGTATCAAACTCGATTTCATTGAGGGCTACATCAAGATTGTGTTTGACATTGGGGAGGGCAGGGGATGTGGCCAGGGTGGGTGTGCCAGCTTGACATCACTCGTGTTGTAGGCACCCCAAGTGTTTTGTGGCTGCCCAAGTGTTCTGCCAGCAAAGACGGGCTCCTGCAACCCTCTGCCAGTGAAAACAGAACTCGGAAGGGCCACAGAACTTGGCACGGCATTTTTGTTGGCAAAGGCACCGCAAGCTAGTCCTTTGCTGTTTCCAGGGTGGATCTGTGGCTCACATCTAAGCACCCTATGGGCCAGATTCAGCCCACAGGCCTTGAGTTTAACAACCCTGGTATAAGGTCTTCTATGTGGGCAGCGCGTTGGACTATAAGACTCTAAGGTCTCTTTCAACTCTGTTATTCTGTATATAGTCACCCATGAAAGACTGATACTGCAAAAGAAGAAATTTAGACAAATGTACATGATAAACACAATAAATATAGATCAATATATCTAGCACTAGTAATAAATGTTATATACAAATTAGAATCATTTACCAAAACAAGAGTGACCATAAAGAATAATCTTTGAAGCTTGTAAGCAGTGATGAAAACATAGGAAACCAGCCTTATGACAAATTAAACTTTGGAATCCAATTGTACAAGGTCTTATTCTGAAAATAGATTGGATGAAAATAAAAAATAGCTGTGTGAGCCACTGAAAATCATATCCAGGCCCATTAAATAGTCCTGTAAAAAAGATCAGCACTCTCAAATAATAATAATCATTTAAAATAAATATATACATTTAAGGAGAGAAGTTAACATTTTGTGGCTAATCTGGGGGACTTTTCTTACTTCTTATTTGTTGCCAAATATTTATTTAAAGGATACATCTACTTTAGAATTTACACTATATTTTTAATATTTTCTGTTACCAAATGGCAAGAAATCATACTACCTATGTAGGACAAATGTAATTAGAGTTGATTCTAAGGGCTACATAAAGTCCTAATCTTAGTTCAGGGGTGTCAAACTCACGGCCTGCAGGCCGGATGCATCACACACTGGTGACACCCACCCCTGCTTTAGCAAATGGAAAAAAGTTGCAATACATCACATGGTGACAACATGACAATATGAATTTGACACCTTCCTTAGATTGCCCCACAACCTTAGATCCAACAACGTTTTAACAAAACTAACTAACCCCTTAAACAGAAAGTCCAAAGTATTCTTCAACAGAACTTTTCTGAGCTTTATTATTTCTTGCTATTGAAGGGAACTAGGTTTACAAGAGATAGCTGTAATACTTCTATTTTCTCTAGGATAACATGGCTACAGGTAGTCCTCATTTAGCAACCACAACTGAGAGAGGCAACTTCATTTGTAATCAAAACAGTTATTAAGTGGGAAACATGTAAATTGTACTTTGCTTTTCCCCACTTTCCCCACTTCATAGTTAGCAATAAGGGAATTAATGTTTGTTTACATTGATTGGAGAAAGGAATTACAAGAGAGTAAGCAGGCACACAATGAGGAATGTTTACTCTCTTCTAAACCCTTCCTTCCCAATCTCTCTACTCTGTGAAGGAGGAAAGAAAAATGAGTCAGGTACAGGACAAATACATATTAACTGACTGTAATGGTGAATACATGACAGACCGAGACAGAGATTGCACAGTTAGTAAATGTGCACCTTAGTCACAAAATTACTTTTTCAGCTGCATTATAACTTGACATGGTCACTGCATGAGGCAATCAATAAGCAAGGTCTATCTGCAGAACAAAAAAGACTAGAATCACAGGCCAAATTGGTAACATAAATAGGCACTTCTTCCGTTTTCTATCTTCCTTTGAATAATATATTCCTACATATTTTTTTCAAATCATGATGTGCACAGTCATTCAGAATCTTACTAAAAGAAATAAATATGTTTCTTTATTAAGAACAGAATTGGAGGAATAGCCACAAGGAATCTTATCAAGCAATTTTTATCTTGGTATAAACAAATGATGTCATTTGATAATTTATAGTTTTAAAAATCTTTATAATCTTGTGACTGGGGATAATTTTGTGACTGGAGATATTGTTAATTTCCCCTTAATATTGTCTTTACCTGATTTAAACCATTTTTTCTTCCTTCTACTTAGATAACACAACTAATCTTTCCCAGCGCTTTGAGCAACTAGAAGAACAAATGACAAGGTACCTTAAATTAATACATATAATTGTACATTATATATTTGACATGTTTATAAGTGTTTGTGTATATAGTGTAATAAAAGAGATTTTATTTTTTAAATAACTTTCTATAGTAAAGTTTGTAAGTTTGGATACAATGCAAACAATGAAGAAGCCATGTTAGTCTTAAGGTCAGTTATTGATTATAACATTCAGAAAACAAAAATGAGAAAAAGCTGATTAAGGTGATGCCTCATTATGTCAGTAGTCCACAAGTCCTTATCTGAATAGATGCCCTTTAGTTAGCTACAGTAAAGTAAGTTGTGGTGCTCATTAAATAATATGACAGCACAATATATGAAGATATGATCAGATCAATTGTTATCTGTCCCAAGTAGAATAGCTATGCTGTACATCAATTATTATGAATGTTGTACTTTGGAGTGGGGAGGCAGTTATTCGAGGGCCTGATAACTACCAATGTTTTGGACTTTAACTCAGATACAGCCTGTTTAAACTCTGCTTCAACAAATCTGGAAGTCATCAAGTTAGGAAATAATGCCTTAGTGTATATTCTGATATGGGTGACAATCTAGAGAATCTAGGGAATTGGTAGAAGACTGCAATTCTATATTTCAGGGAACTACATTTATGCAAAAATGGGACAAAAGAGGCTAAAATTGGCTCTGCTGAAGCTGCTATTTTTCCCTAGTAAAGGAACATGTAAGAGGGCGTGTGCATAAAGGCACTAACATGCCTATCGTCCCTGTCATTGTATTTTTATTCTCTTATTCTTGTTCTCGTTTTTGTTTGACAAATTCCAATGAATGAATGAATGAATGAATTAATGAGGTTTTGCATGGAGAAGCAGATTGCTCCCCGCAGGGTTGGCCTTGGCACTTGCTTTGGACAGCAAACAGAAGAGCTTTGCTCTTTTCCTCCAGGGCCTTTGAAATTGACCCTCACTTTGCTTTTCTGCCTTAAAATCCAAAGCAGACATGTTTTCCTTCTGATCAGTTGAGGATAACTACCAGTATGATTTTGGTAAGAAGCTGAGTTTATATGTGAATCCAACCCCCTTGTCACAGGCCAGCCCTGTGGGAAGCGGATCCACTTCTCCATGCAAAATCTCAAGGGCTTTGCAGAACTCCAGGTGAGGTAGCTTTCCTGGAGCTTTCCGTCCTTCCATACGAAGGAGGAATACAAATCTGGGAGGAGAAGCAGCAGAAAATGGGATTGCCATTTCCAGAATGGAGAAGGGAGATATGGAGAGACACAGGCCCGGGAGAAAGTTGGAACCAGTGATTGTTGCCCAGTGGAAGGAAGGGAGGGAGTGAGGGAGGGAGGGAGAGAAAGAAGAAAAGAAGAGTTGATTCAACTTTGGAGAGTTAAACTAGGACTGGCAGTGGGAGTGCTCTGTGCTGCTGTGACTCCACTCAACTGTCCCATGGGAAACCATCAGGCCAGGGACAATGCAAAGACCCCATCAATGGCTTCCAGAGCTGCCACCATTGAAACCATATAAAGAACAGGCATGGCAGGTGGATGTGGCTTTTCACTGCCTGCCTCCTGGCGACGACAGGGTCTGAACTCAGAGCCCTGGGCCTCTCATGGTAAATAAATAAACACACGGACACGGTGTTTACTCGGGATGAAAAAGCCCTTTAATAATGGTGGGTACTCCTTTTATAGGCTACATGCACACGTCATAGCAGAGACAAAGAAGCTTTCTACATAATTATGCTAATGCAAAAACTATGCCATAGCTGGTGCCTTATCGCTCTTACTTCTTAGCCCTGTCACTTTTATCTCCCATATAACTTTTGTTGCCAGTATTTTTCCACACAGTCAGCACTTTATCACATGGCAACATTAGGTTGTCCATCCATCACTTTTACAAGGTTGACCATTGCAATGTTTAGCGTAACAGTACATTGCAACAGTTGACCATTGCAACATTTAGCGTAACAGTACATTGCAACAGGTGGACGAGGAGTAGGTGGCAGCTGCTGCTGGGCAGGTGACCTGTGGAGTGGGGAGGCGGGGACTGGAAAAAGCCCCTCCAGCAGAAGACATGGCTGATGTGGAACAGTGATGGAGACCTTTTGTTATCACTCCCTCCTAGCTCTGAATTGGAATGGAACTGGGTAAGGGATCGAGACTTCCCTATCTACCCTCCATGGGATGGCAGTCTGTCTTGGGAGGGATAGGTCACAGAGAATGGCCTGGCTGCAGTGGCCTGGGGATACCTGTGTCTGAGGTATGTGTGGCAGCTCCACCTCCTCCCCAGTGATGTATTAAGCAGACTAAGCACGTGCTTAGGGCAACAGGCCCAAAGGGGGCACCACAAAGTTGAAAATATGGCTTAGTTTGTACAGTATGTACAAAGGAGGGGGGCACCAAGATTTGTCAGTGCTTAGGGCACGAGTGAGCCTTAATCCGCCACTACTATTCCCCATTTGCATTGACTACCTCACAGCAAGGCAACCCACCCAAGAGCTCCAGGTGCTGAAATGGGTCAGTCTCTCTCTAGCAGCTGCTCAAACCTGCCAGAGGACAAGGCCAGCATCTTCTGAAATGGGGCAGCACTCAGCTCTAGAGGAGAAAGGGGAGATGGCAAGGGCGCTGCAGGCAGGATGCACTCTTACTTCAGTGCCTTCCCCAACCCTCCAGGGCTCTGCCCATACTTCACCCCTGGTCTGCCAGCTCCCCACTCATCTCTTCAGTGGGCCAGGCCAAGGAGGTGTATCCCCCCCCAGCATCTCCACGGCAAAGGCCCCTCTTTCAGCCCAGAGGAGTATCAGCCTGGCCACTCACCTCAGCACCCTTCCCACCTCACCCAGAATGGCTGTCCTGAAGCTGCTGGGGCCATCCTGGCATGTCCCTCCCCTCATTCAAATTCTCTCATAGTTGGTCTGCCCCCATGCTCCGAGGTTGGCCCAATTGCTGCCATGCTTTGAAGATCTGCATCTCCACCCCTTGTGCAGGCCACGCTCATCTGTTTGTACTGAACGCAGTCCTGCCACACTCCTACGTGCTCACTACCCCAAAATAAACCCTAGTGCTTATTTTGAAGTCCAAACAATATAAGACAGGGTCTTATTTTCAGGGAAACACAGTACCACCCTACAATTAAGGGTGGTAAGATAGAAGAGGCAAAGAAAGAAGGGTCAAGGAAGATAAAAATACAGAAGGGCAGAGCTCCCAGTGTGATGTCACAACACATGTTTAATCATTTTGGCTAGATGTAGATGTAGTCATATTTGCTATATAGAGTAATACAGCCTAACATATTTAGAAGACTGACAGGAGTGACCTTTGGGACATGATGCTTCCATCCAAATGTAAATTTCTTGAGAATAGGAAGACTAGTTGCCTCAATGTTGTATTTTTAGGACCTTAATAACTATGAAACAATCTAAACAGATATTTTTGTCAGATCTGTCATGTTTTTTAGTTGTTTACATTGAGTATATTTTCCTCATTATCCTCATTATTGTCAATTATTTTCTTAAGATTATTATAATGCTACTGACAGACGTTGATTACCTTCTTGAATTTACTTCTATAATATTGTATTTCAGGTATGCATACTGGTATTCAGCCATAGGAGCTGGAGTTCTTGTCTGTTCCTATGCATACATTGCATGTTGGACACTTGCGGCTGGCCGCCAAGTCAAAAGAATTAGGCAACAATTTTTCCATGCCATCATGAGGCAAGAAGTAGGATGGTTTGATATAAATGATGCTGGAGAACTAAACACACGACTTATAGAGTAAGTCCACATTTCATGCTTTTCCTTCAGCAATTAATTTATCAGTTTGTTTAAATTTAAAGTAAATCCCAATTGCTTATTTTGTGTTAGTAAAATTCAACTCTAAAAAAGTACTTTATGTGTGTAGCACTCGATGACAATAGGATAAAGATTCTCTGCATGGTATGCAATATATAGGAATATATATTCTATATCCATGTATATACACAAATTTGCTATGTCAATACAACTGAAATATAAGACATAAGACATAAGACATAAGAATTTATTTGTCATTACACTCGCAAGCGGGTGCAACGAAATGAGGTGCTCTTCCACAAGTAAAACTGGACAACACTATTGAAAGAAAAATAAAATTAAACACAACAGACCATACAATAATCTCTATACAATTTAAAAATGTAAATACCCCATTACTCTCAGCCATTAAATTCCACAAAATCTTATGACCCTGCATTCAAACTCAAAGCTGCACTTGGATAAAAACTGTTCTTAAATCTAGTCGTCCTTGTTCTTAATACCCTGAATCTCCTTCTCGATGGTAATAGTTCAAAGAGCTGATGTCCCGGATGAGAGGAGTCATTCAATATATTAAATATCTTCCTCTTACATCTATTCCTATACCGTTCTTCCAAAGAGGGGAGTGAGCAGCCAATGATGTTTTGGGCCATCTTAATCACCCTCTGAATTGCCTTTTTCTCTGCCACTGTGCAGTTCGAGAACCATACACAGAGACAGTAGGATAATATACTCTCAATTGAACTCCGATAGAAGGTAGTCAGTAGACTCTCAGCCAGTTGTTGTTTCCTAAGAATCCTTAGTAAATACAACCGTTGTTGTGCCTTCTTAATTAAAGCAGCGGTGTTTGCACTCCAGGTCACGTCATTTGTAATGATGGTCCCGAGATACTTACATTCAACCACCTGTTCCACACGAACTCCTTCTATATACAGTGGCTGAATGTCTGCTCTTTTTTTCCTATAGTCCACTATAACCTCCTTGGTCTTCTTAATGTTAAATAGAAGATTATTATTTTTGCACCAGTGGGATAGCTGTAATACCTCATCCCGATATGCAGACTCATCATCCCCAGAAATAAGTCCTACAAGCGTAGTATCGTCTGCAAATTTTATTATCTTATTGTTGGGATGTTTATTTGTACAATCTGATGAATAAATGGAGAACAGTAGTGGACTAAGGACACAACCCTGCGGAGTGCCAATGCTAAGTGTCTTGACAGTAGAAATATAATCATTCAGTTTAACTCTTTGTGGACGATTTGTTAAAAAATCCAATATCCATAAACAAATAGAATCTGGAAAATCTAGATCTTTGAGCTTGGCTATTAATCTGTGCGGTATGATGGTATTGAAAGCAGAACTAAAATCTGCGAACAACATTCTTACATAATTCCCCGGTGTTTCCAAATGGGATAAGGCCATGTGAAGCACAGTAATAATTGCATCCTCGGTTGATCTATTTTCTTGTAAGCAAACTGAAGCCCATCAAAGGAATCAGGAAGGCAGGAGATAATATAATTTCGAACTAGCTTCTCAAAGCACTTCATTAAGATAGAAGTTAGTGCCACCGGCCTATAGTCGCTAGGACCATTTGTGGGCAACTTTTTAGGCAGTGGAACGATGGTGGAAGCCTTGAGACACACAGGAACCATACTTTGTGTCAAGGATCGATTAAAAATTTCAGTCCACACCCCAGCTAGCTGATCAGCACAATCTTTTACCACACGACCAGGAATTGAGTCGGGCCCAGCTGACTTTCTGGAATTAACCGCCTTCATTGTCTGCCTCACATCCTGCTCATTCACAATGAAGGGGAGGCCCTGCTGGGTAAATGATGGCAAAGGGACAGTTTCAGTTTGATGGATCTCAAATCGAGCAAAAAAATTGTTCAACTCCTCAACCACCACCGCACTACCATCCAAAGAGACCTTTTTTGCTTTATAGTTCATTAGTTGTTGAACCCCCTGCCAAACCTGCCTCATGTTATTACTGAGAAAGCAGTCTTCAATTCTCCTCTTATATTCGGCCTTAGCTTGCTTAATACCTCTCTTCAAGTTTGTTCTTGCAGCACTATAATCTAGATCATTCCCAGACTTAAAAGCCTTATTTCTTGCATACAACAAGCATCTAACCTTCCCGGTCATCCAAGGTTTTTCATTAGGATACACCCGGATTCGTTTATCCACCGTGACAGTATCAATACAGTGTGCCATATACCCTAGCACTGCAGCCATGTGTTCGTTGAGATCAGGATGATCAAAAACTTCCCAGTTTGTGCGTTCGAAGCAGTCCTTTAGCTGCTCCATTGCTCCCTCTGGCCAGCTTTTCACCGTCTTGACTACCGACCCCGCCTGTTTTCTCAGAGGAATATACTCCGGGGCTAAAAGCAGGGACAAGTGATCTGACTGGCCCAGATGTGGTAGTTGTAATACCCTGTATCCATTTACAATATTCGTGTAGACCTTATCCAAGGTGTTCGATCCCCTAGTTGCACACCTTATATGTTGATAGAATTTAGGGAGGACCACACGAAGATCTACATGATTAAAATCTCCTGCAATAATGAATACAGCATCTGGAAATTTGCTTTGCAAGTTGCCAATTTCATCACCCAGGTAGTCCAGAGCCAAATCTGCATTTGCGTCTGGCGGAATGTAAACAGCAAGAATAATAACAATGCTGAATTCCCGTGGAAGGTAGAAGGATCTGCATCTAACAGACAGATATTCCAGCTCCAAAGAGCAGTGACGTGTTATAACCTCTGAGTTTTTACACCAAGTCTCTTTAACAAACATACACACTCCACCTCCTCTACACTTCCCCACATTTCTGTCTCTGTCCAGACGATGTAATAAAAAACCGTCCATCTCAATAACAATGTCTGGAATAGTGGGGTCCAACCAGGTTTCGGTGATTAGCAACACACAACAGCTTTTCACGAACTTACTTGAAGAGACCTGTAGCCTTAAATCATCCATCTTATTTACCACGGATCTAGCATTAGTCAGAAAGAGGCTTGGGAGCGGTAGCCGCTTCGTTTGTTTTTGCAGCCTGTACAAAACACCAGCCCTGCAGCCTCTTTTCTTGCCCCTTTCTCTTCGTCTTCTTTTCCTTTTCACTGGAGCCACAATCCACAGAGAGCCAGGGAGCCTTGCAAACTCTGATGGTATGTTATGTTTCCAAACAAACTTAGCTGTTATCTCTTGTTTACACTGCAGTCCAATCTTCATAAGCTCACAATTGCTGTAGAGTATGTTCACCCCGCAGGAGGTATTCACAATACAAGATAATCCACACAAAAACATCCATAAAAAACGCCAAGTCGAAGAGCACTGAGCTGCAGCATGTGAATGCGCGGCCATCTTACAAGATTCAAAAATATGTCAGAAAACCAGCAAAAATGCATCTTGATAGTCATTTCCTCAATACTGTCCTAACAAATTTGCTCTAATTTCTTTTCAGTGATGTATCCAAAATTAATGAAGGAATTGGTGAGAAAATTGGAATGCTGATTCAGGGAATATCAGCATTTCTATCAGGATTTATAGTCGGATTCACTGAAGGATGGAAATTGACTCTTGTAATCCTTGCTGTCAGTCCTGTCCTAGGACTCTCTGCTGCAGTTTGGGCAAAGGCAGGTATACTTTTGCTGAAACATAATGATAGTATACAATTCACTCTTTTCAATCATGAAAATGCCATCATGGCCCCCTAAAATGGTGTTTTGATTGTTTCTTTATTTCTTGAAACAATAGCAGGGATAATATATGCATGTCTAGAGATTGCCTGTCATTACCAAAATGTTCTGGGTGACTGAGGATATAATATACCTTCTTTAGGAAAAAGGAAGAAACACATTATTTCATTTCTGGCCTCTGATTGATTAATTTTGGTTTCAGATCAGTATATTTTAATCTAAAACTGTACTGAATTTTCTTGAATGGTGTCTTGACAGTATATCAAGATTATCTGTGTGTGGCACACATAAAAAGGAATAGGATTTGGTTACTCAGTCATGACTGACATCTTCACTTCATAGACCCCTTTGTGAAATTCCATATAAGATGCCATCAGAGCACATGTGTACACATAAGAAAATGCACACACACATACACAAAGAGAGAGAGAGAGAGGGAGGGAGAGAGAGAGAGAGAGAGAGCGCATAACTGTCCTAAAAGAGATCAGTGGGATGTCGCAGAAGCAAGCCTTTTTTTTCCTTTTACTCTTTCCTGCGGATTAGGACTTATGGAAAGTGTTCCATATTAGCAGGCTTGAAACCCTACGTTCCTATTGGTCCAGAAAAGCCAGATCGTGATTGGCTGGCTTGAACGTTCCTGATTGGCTCATACAGGGTTTGCCGCGATTGGCTGAAACCAACTTAAAGAGTTGTCATTGGCTGCCTAGCCGCGGCCAGCTCTATAAGAAGAGCTGCTGCGCACTAGGGTTTTCCGTCTCAGAATCTATCTGTAAAATAAAGAGCTGTTGTTCACTACTCAAGTCTCGTCTATTCATGGGACCCACCGACCATACTTAACACTGGCGATGAGGGTGGGATTCTGAGACAACAAGGCTAACCAGCATGTGGCAAACAGCGCAGAGACGACCAGCGAAATGGCCAGCAGTGCCACGCTGCCCACACCATTTAATCCAGCCAGCGAGGACTGGGAGTCCTACATTGATCATTTCAAAATGTTTTTGGAATCCAACAACTTGAAAGATGCCACCGGCAGCAAGAAACGGGTGGTATTTTTAATGCACTGCGGACCCACCGTTTTCAAAATGGCCAAGGTGCTACCAAAGCCCACAGATGTCAAAACGATGGATTGGAACAACCTAGCTCCCCTCCTCCGGAACCACTATGCTCTGGCCATACCAACTCTTATCCGAAGGCATGATTTTTATCAACGAGACCAGCGTGAGGGCGAGAGCCTCGGTGAATTCGTGGCCAACCTGAGGACCTTGGAGGATTGTGCGGATTCGCTAACCTGGATGAGGCCATGCGAGACCGGGTCGTTCTTGGCCTGAAAGACCCAGCGCTCCAAAGCAGACTAATGGCCAAGGGTGACATCTCCCTCACCGACGCCATAGCCGAAGCAAGCGCAGCCGAAGCTACCTGCAAATCAGCGGCCCGAATGTGGCATTCAAACGGAACTGATCGTCAATTGACCAGCAAGGCAACTACCACACCAGAAAAACTCACAGCCACCACCCACCATGGCGGTGCTGAATCCCCTTCTGATAGCGAAGAAGAAGAAATTCACCGACTTCAGTCGGAACGCGATCGACGAGACCGGCAAGGTCGTAAGTCGGGGTACCAGTGTGCCGGCTGCGGAGGAAATCACCTGCATTCCGAATGCAAGTTCCTGGATGCTGTTTGCTGACATTGTGAGAAGCGGGGGCATATCGCTAAAGTATGCCGTAATAAAAGAAACTTCAGCCCCCAGCGTCGAGGCAACAGCCCAAGAAGACAAGATGGCAACCCCACCAAAAACCGGGACCACCAGACTGACAGCCGGTGGAGCAGGGACGGCCAAAACAGAAGATTCAACAAGGCACTGCAAAGAGAAGAAACACACCAAACAGTTATCATCGGCCATTCTTCACCAATAGATGCACGGAAGATACGCATCGAAGTCGGTATCGAAAACCAAACATGCACCATGGAGGTAGATTCTGGCTCCTACCTCTCCATGGTCTTCTGGCACACCATAAAGCATCTAATACCCAGCATACACCACCAAGAACTAAGTGACCAGAAATTGATCCTGAGGGACTACCAAGGGAACCGCAACCCAGTGGCTGGCATCGGGCATTTCAAGATCACCTACAAAAACTGCACCAATATTTTACCACTTACAATTGTAAATGAAGACCGCCCCAGCCTACTCAGATTACAATGGTTCACACCGCTAGGGATCGAGATGGCAGGCATCAATCACACAGACGAAGAAGATTGGGAGGCAACGCTCATACTAGACTTCCAAGAGGTCTTCGATAACACTTTAGGCAAGTACAAGGGGTCCCCAATCTCCTTCAATCTTAGCCCAGACATCGCTCCCATCCGCCTCAAGCCGCGCCGAGTGCCATTTGCACTCAAACTTAAGATAGACAAGCAATTAAATAAGCTCATCGCACAAGGGGTTTTAGAACCTATCGACCATGCCCATTGGGAAACACCTATTGTCACCCCCATCAAACCAGATGGCTCCCTGAAAATCTGTGGAGACTACAAGGCCACCCTGAACCATGCCCTGCAGCAGAGTGCCTACCCTGTGCCAGTAGTCCAGCATCTCCTACACTCACTGGGGGGTGGCAGAATCTTTGCAAAGCTCGACCTGGCACAAGCCTATCAACAACTGCCGGTCGATGCTGAAACCGCTGAGGCATAAACGATTGTGACACATCGAGGGGCATTTAAATGCAACCGACTCCAATTTGGACCCAGCGTCGCACCTGGCCTAATGGAAAGACTGCTGCAGGGAATTAAAGGAGTCATACCCTATTTTGACGATGTCCTAGTAGCAGCCCCCAATAAGAAGCAATTGGAGAAACGGCTAAGAGCAGTCTTACAAAAATTTAAAGACTCCAGCCTCAAAGTAAAAAAAGAGAAGTGCCAGCTATGTACTGAAAGGGTTGAATTCTTGGGGTACCTCCTAGACATGGAATTCACCCTACTGACAAAAAACTAAAAGCCATCAAGGAAGCCCCCAGACCGAAAAATAAAACAGAACTCCAAGCATTCCTTGGACTCATTAATTTCTATAATGTTTTCCTACCCCAGAAGGCGACTGTCACGGAACCCTTGCATAGGCTCCTGGATAAAGCGGCATCCTGGACATGGGGAAGGCGAGAGGAACACGCCTTCCAACAAATAAAAAACCTTTTAACTTCTGACGCAGTCCTTATTCAGTATAATGAAACCCTGCCGCTGACTGTCACATGCGACGCATCACCCTTTGGTGTTGGGGCAATCCTAAGCCACACCTTGCCGAATGGGAAAGAGGCTCCCATTGCATTCTTCTCAAGAACCCTGTCCAAGCCAGAAAGGAACTACAGCCAGCTGGACAAAGAAGCCCTAGCCATCATCTCCGCAGTGAAAAGATTCCACGAATACATTTATGGTAGGACTTTTTCAATTATTATGGACCACAAACCTCTACTAGGCATTTGGCTGGAAACAAACCCACTCCAAACATCCTGTCACCTAGAATGATGAGATGGTCTGAATTTCTTGCCGCTTATAATTACCATTTTGCACATCGACCTGGCAAGACCATCTCGCTTGTTGACGCTTTAAGCCGATCCCCCCCACCAGACGTGCAAGACGACCCAGCACCCACATTACCAATTTTACAAATAGAAACAGTAACCACACTGCCATTGACCACACAAGACATTGCCCACGAAACAAGAAGAGACAAAGGCTTGGTGCGAGTCCTCAGCTGGGTGGAGAGAGGTTGACCAGAAAGCCAAAAAAATGAACTCTTTAAACCATTTAAAAACCGGCAAACTGAACTTTTTTCACAACGGGGGTGCATTCTTTGGGGAGACTGGGTGGTTATACCAGAAACATTACAGAAAAAAGTTCTAGACATGCTGCACGACGGGCATCCGGGCATTGTGTGAATGAAAGCCCTGGCCAGAAGCTACACTTGGTGGCCAGGCATGGACAAACAGATAGAAACTTGAGTCGCTGCTTGCAGCAGATGTCAAGAGACTCGCTCAACTCCCCCTGCAGCTCCACCACTAGAATGGGAAACCCCCAGAGGCCCCTGGTCACAAATCCATATTGACTTCACGGGGCCAACCAAAGGACATACCTTTTTAATCACTGTTGATGCTTACTCAAATTGGCTCGAAGTAAGCAAAATGAAAACAACCACCACAGAAGCTGTTATCAAAAAATTAAACAAACTTTTCGCCAAACATGGTCTGCCAGATGTGATAGTATCTGACAATGGACCTCAATTTACCACATTGGCGTTTGAACAATACTTGGCAGACCGTGGCATCCGACACGCATTGACATCGCCCACTTACACGGCAGCGAATGGGCGAGCTGAACGCATGGTTCAGTTCACAAAAAAGACCATCCAAAAGATTGAACACGGAAACATCCATGAAAAAATCAACAAAATGCTCCTAATACAACACATCACACCCAACACCACCACGAACAAATGCCCAGCAGAATTACTCATGGGCAGAAGGCTCCGGTCACCTCTAGACCGTTTGCACCCTACTTTCACTCCAGAGAAACCCCCTGGATCTACTAGCAGACACCGAGCCTTCAACGTGGGAGACACTATTTTTGCCAAAAACTTTACTGGGGACCCACTAAGGCTACCTGCAAAGATCACCCAAGTCACTGGCCCCCGGTCCTACTGACTCAAGACCACCGACAGGAGGAGCTGGAAGTGGCACATTGACCAGCTACGGTCTAGACTGGCCACTTTTCCCCTCACAGACTCCAACCAGGAAATCGGGGTGGGGTGGGGGTGGAACCTCAAACTTAGAAAAAGAACCAATATCTGTGCAAGCAGAACACCCCCCACACACATTAAATAAAAATTCAACATTAAACCAGCAATACTTACCTACGAACAGGGAACCGAGGCAGACGGGTGCTTCACCTGGAAGTAGCAGCCGGACAAGCTCAACCAGCCCAGAGAATCCAGGCAGGAGTGACAGAGCGAATGACTCGACCAACCCGGATACACCAGGCGGGAGTCGCAGCTATAGGCCCGGCTCACCCTTCCAGAGGGTTCCATCGAGAAGCTTGAGAGCGACGCAGAGCCTGTCCAAACCTGACGATGACCAGACATTATGAACCGCGCAAGTCAAGTAGGCAGGTCCAAAGACCCTCCTACTTACGTGATTGTGTTACCCCACCCCTTGGACGGAACCAAGAGGGGAGGGGTGTTCCATATTAGCAGGCTTGAAACCCTGCGTTCCTATTGGTCCAGAAAAGCTGGATCGTGATTGGTTGGCTTGAACGTTCCTGATTGGCTCATACAGGGTTTGCCACGATTGGCTGAAACCAAGCACGGTAAACTTAAAGAGTTGTCATTGGCTGCCTAGCCGCGGCCAGCTCTATAAGAAGAGCTGCTGCGTGCTAGGGTTCTCCGGCTCAGAATCTATCTGTAAAATAAAGAGCTGTTGTTGACTACTCAAGTCTCATCTATTCATGGAACCCACTGACTATACTTAACTGCAAGGGTCTTCAAATTTGGCAACTTTAACTCCCAGAATTTCTGAGCTAACATGACTGGAGGAGGAATTCTGGGAGTTAAAGTCCACAAGTCTTAAAGCTGTCAAATTTGAAGATCCCTGATTTAGGAGATTACATTTCTGTATTCAACATTTCTGATTTGCCAAAATAAAGATAATATTCAACCTGTATCTGCATTTGAGAGTGTCCTATGTTCTTTAAGAGAGGGCTTTTCATGCTTGAAGAAAAACCACTCTGCTTTTCTCCATATTTTGAGGCACTAGTTTTCCAGTGTAAATCTCAAGACTTGATAAAAAAGGAAAATAAATCTGAGCTATTTACACATTATCCCTTTTCTTCTAATCATTCTCTCCCATAGTCAAGGCAATATGGTGCCTTTGCCTGCTATTTCATCCTACAGCTCCTTCCTTGTATTTTGCTGCTTCTGTTCCAGCAGTCAGTTTTCATTATAATTCCTTGCCATGAGAAAAATAAAACATAGCAAGGGAAAAGCAGACCAGGCATTGCAGTCTGTGATTGTATGTGGCCTCTTTTTAAGCCAAAGGCAGCTCAACAGGAGAGTGAAATATAACAATAAAAAGCTTTGCCTGACAATGTAAAACTTCCCTAAAGGATAAGATGGATATTGTTGATGGCTGTGTAGAATTTGGCTACCTACAAAATAAACTTAGAGCAGGCACCTTGGATCCCCCAAAACAGGTCAATGCTGCTGCCAAGAAATCCTCTGAAAAATCAATATACTAGGCACAGCCACATTGTTCAACGCGCTCACATTCTTTAAAAATCAAAAGCAATGGAGAAAAGAAGAAAAATGCCAGAACTTATTAAGAAGAGGAGAGAAAGGTAGGGATAGAATAGAATATAATAGAATACTTTATTGGCCAAGTGTGATTGGACACACAAGGAATTTGTCTTGGTGTAAATACTCTCAGTATACATAAAGAAAAGGTACATTTGTTAAGAATCAAGAATCATAATGTACAACACTTAATGATAGACATAGGGTACAATCAACAATCAAATCATACTAGGAAACAGTCAATATAAATCGTAAGGATACAAGCAAGAAAGTTATAGTCCTACAATCACAAGTGGGAGGGGATGGGTGATAAGGAGTGATGAGAAGATTAACAGTAATAGTAGTGTACACTTTGTAAATAGTTGAACAGTGTTGAGGGAATTATTTGTTTAGCAGAGTGATGGCTTTCAGAAAAAAATGTTCTTGTGTCTAGTTGTTCTGGTGTGCAGTGCTCTATAGCGTTGTTTTGAGGGTAGGAGTTGAAACAGTTTATGTCCAGGATGTGAGGGGTCTGTAAATATTTTCACAGCCCTCTTTTTGACTCATGTAGTATATAGGTTGTCAATTGAAGGCAGATGGGTGGGTAGTAATTGTTTTTTCTGCAATCCTAATTATCCTCTGAAGTCTGTGTCTGTCCTGTTGGTTTGCAGAACCAAACCAGACAGTTATAGAGGAGTAGATGATAGACTCAATAATTCCACTGTAGAAATGTATCAGCAGCTCCTTGGGCAGTTTGAGCTTTCTGAGTTGGCACAGAAAGAACATTCTTTGTTGCGCTTTTTTGATGATGTTTTTGATGTTAGGTGTCCATTTTAGGTCATGTGATATAGTAGAACCTAGAAATTTGAAGGTCTCTATTGTGGATACTGTGTTGTCTAGTATTGTAAGAGGTGGTAGTATGGGAGGGTTTCTTCTAAACTCTACCACCATTTCTACGGTTTTGAGTGTGTTCAGTTCCAGATTGTTCTGGTTACACAACGAGGCAAGTTGTATAACCTCCTGTCTGTATGCAGATTCATTGTTGTCTCGAATGAGACCAATCACTGTTGTGTCATCAACAAACTTCAGTATTTTAACAGATGGATTGTTTGAGATGCAGTCATTGGTATATAGAGAGAAGAGAAGTGGAGATAGCACACAGCCTTGGGGCCCCCTGTGCTGATTGTACAGGTATCGGGTGTGATTCCGTTAGATTCACCTGCTGCTTCCTGTCTGTTAGGAAGCTTATGATCCACTTACAAGTATGTTCAGGTACCGCTAGTTGGTTTAATTTACTTAGAAGAGTGTCTGGAATGATGATATTGAATGCTGAACTGAAGTCTACAAAGAGGACCCTTGCGTAGGTATTTGGAAATTCAAGGTGTTGTAGGATGTAATGCAGAGCCATGTTAACAGCATCATCTGTCAATCTATTTGTTTGGTATGCAAACTGCATGGGATCTAACAGCGGATCAGTGATGGTTTTCAGATGGGACAACACAAGCATTTCAAAGATTTTCATAACTACAGATTTTAGAGCAACTGGTCTGTAGTCATTCAATTCCTTGATGGAGGGCTTCTTTGGCACTGGGATGATGGTAGAATGTTTGAAGCAGGAAGGAACATAGCACATCTCTGGTGATCTATTGAATATTCAGGTGAAGATGGGGGCCAATTGGTCAGCAGAGACTTTTAAGCAAGAAGGAATTATCTTGTCTGGCCCTGGTGCTTTTCCTGATTTCTGTCTGTGTAACAGTTCTTGCACTTCTTTTTCTGTGATCACCAGAGGTTGTGAGCCCAATGGATTGGGGCCAGTTATAGGAGGCTTGGCTGTTGTTGGTGTGTTTGAGATGCGGGTTGTGGAGATAGATGGCTGTAGTTTCTTTTCAAACCTGCAGTAAAACACATTCAGGTCATCTGCTAGTTGTTGATTTCCTTCTGCCTGGGAAGGAGGTTTGCTGAAGTCAGTGATGTTTTTAAGAGTTTTCCACATGTTTGCTGGTTCATTTGTTGAAAATTGATTCTTTAACTTTTCAGAGTAGCTTCTTTTTGCTGCTCCGATCTCTCTTGTTAATATGTTTCTGGCGTGGTTCTATAGCATTCTGTCACCTTTTCTGTAGCTTCCTCTTTGGAACGACATAGCTGCTTAAGTTTAGCTGTGAACCAAAGTTTATTGTTACTATATATTTGCAGGTTCCTTGTAAGGAGCCTGCAAATAAGTCTTCGCAGAAGCTGACATATGATGTTACTATATCTGTGAGCTCATCTAGGTCTGCAGAGGCATCTTCAAAAACATTCCAATCAGTGCAATCAAGGCAGGCCTGGAGTTTCAGCTTTGCTTCATCTGACCAAGTCTTCACTGATTTAATTGTTGGTTTAATGGTTCAGGCCACGGAAAGGGGAACAAAGATGGGCAGGTTCAAATTACTTGATTTTAAGAAGAAACATGTTGTAGACTTTTTTTGGATCTAAGCAGTGTCTAATCTCACTAGAGAAACTTACATTTTAAAATAAAGCTGGTATTAGAATTCATGAAAAATTGCTCTAAATGGAAAAGTCAATTTTTTCTTTTCTTTTCCACAGATCCTTTCTTCATTCACTAATAAGGAACTTGCTGCATATGCAAAAGCTGGATCAGTTGCTGAGGAGGTCCTAGGGGCTATCAGAACAGTGATAGCTTTTGGAGGACAGAAAAAAGAAATTGAAAGGTCAGGAAAATTTGTTAATTTTACACAGAATCTCTGGGGCTGCCCACATATCTGGCTAATTTCATTCTGTGTATTTGAGCCTTCCTAAAACACGCAAGTGACAGACCAGTAGCATTCATTGCTACATTCTTCCATCATGATTCATAAGAATTTATCTAAATGTAAGTCTTGTCCTAATGTTGCTGTTCCAAATCTTTCAGTCTACATTTCCCATTATCTTCAACCAGCGGGGAATTGAAATGAAAAACTCTTGCAGAACTGCAAATTTGGGGAGTTTCTGCTTGCTTCTCAGTGATGCTCTACAACTGAAATGAAATAGAGTACTCTACAGTCTTTTTCTGTTTATCTTTTCTTGTTTCAATTCCTCTTGTCCATTAATGCAGGGCTTGCACTAGCTTTCCAATGTTAATCTCAAGAATTCGTGATAAAAAAGGAAATTAAATGAATTTGCATATGTGTTGTACACATACACAAGCTGCTACTTAAAGCAGCTGTCGCCAACCTTTTAGACCTCAGGGACCACTAAACTCATAATTTTAAATCCCTCAGACCACTAATATGAATTTTGACTGACGGTGGCTTGCTGACATTGATGGGAAAGTCAGTCCCATTTTCCAGAACTGCAGTAATCACAGGACTGACCCTTTGGTCAACCCGGAGCAGCTCATCCATGGCAGGCCGATGCACCCGGGTGGAGGAGCTGTTCCAGAATGACCAAAGGGCTAGTCCTGTTGACTACTGCAGCTCTAGAATATGGGACCGACTTTCCCACCATCAGCAAGCCACCGAGGGTGGATTTCCCTCCCCCTGCCATTGGTCTTACCTTCCAGTTCCAACTCTACTCAAGGTAAGGTTTGCACTTGGCTGAAGGGTGGGGGCCAGTGGGTGGGCGGGCCATGTGAGCGGTGGAGCCTTGTGTTCCCATCGGCCATGTGGGTGACACAGCCTTGTGTTCCTGTGCAGCTTGGAGTAAATGCTTTGGGGGGTGCTTTGGGAGGGACATTTCTCTGCGGACCCCCAAAATTTTCTTGTGGACCACCAGTGGTCCGCTGCCCACTAGTTGGCAACCATTGAGTTAAAGGATACTATAGCTGTAAATAGGAGAGAATAACTGAATAATAAGAATAACTAATTGTGGCCAAAATTAAATAATGTAATACTTTTGTCAAAAAGACTGATAGAGAACTTAGCAAAAGCCATAGTGCTTAGACTTATATACAGCTCACCGGAACAATCTGGAACTGAACACACTCAAAACCATAGAAATGGTGGTAGACTTTAAGAGAAACTCTCCCATACTACCTCCTCTTACAATACTAGACAACACAGTATTAACAGTAGAGGCCTTCAAATTTCTAGGTTCTATCATATCACAAGACTTAAAATGGATACCTAACATCAAAAATGTCATCAAAAAAGCAGAACAAAGAATGTTCTTTCTGCGCCAACTAAGTAAGCTCAAACTGCCCAAGGCGCTGCTGATATAGTTCTACAGAGGAATTATTGAGTCTATCATCTGCACCTCTATAACTGTCCGGTTTGGTTCTGCAACCCAACAAGAGAGACACAGACTTCAGAGAGTAATTAGGACTGCAGAAAAACAATTACTACCCACCTGCCTTCAATTGAGGACTTGTATAATGCACGAGTCCCTTCATATCCTGGACATAAACTATTTCAACTTCTATACTCAAAATGATGCTATAGAGCAGTTTCCTAGTATGATTTGATTGCTTATTGTACCCTATGACTATTATTAAGTGTTGTACCTTATGATTCTTGATTAATGTATCTTTTTTATGTACACTGAGAGCATTTGCACCAAGACAAATTCCTTGTGTGTCCAATCACACTTGGCCAATAAAGATTCTATTCTATTCTATTCTATTCTGTTCTGTTCTGTTCTGTTCTATTCTATTCTATTCTATTCTATTCTATTCTATTCTATTCTATTCCAGTTCTTTACAGCACTTTCTGAGCAGTTTACAAATGTAAACATATTGTTCCAACAATCTGGATCCCCATTTTACAGATCTCAGAAGGATGGAATGCTGAGTCAACCTTAAGCCAGTCGAGATCGAAATCCTGGCAGTGGGCAGAGTTAGCCTGCAATGCCACATTCTAACCACTGCACCACCACACCTCCTAGAACTTAACCATTTGGTCAGTTCAGCATAAACTCTTCATTTAACATAGATGTTATTATATGAATTAATTAAATACATGTTGCTTGTTCATTTTTCCTTGAATAAAATGACAAGTTGGTTAATTTTGTGCAAAAATATTTTTCTAGGATTATGATAAGCAAAACACATGAGGATATATTTTCTCTAGCTACATCAATATCTATAGACAATATAATTTGATGACTTTTGTGTCCAGTGCAGTTATATAATGTATAGCTTTCTGTTTTTCTTTCAGATATCATAAAAATTTAGAAGATGCTAAAAACATTGGGATAAGGAAGACTATGAGTACCAGCGTTTCGCTTGGCGTTGCTTTCTTAATAATATATGCTTCCTATGCGTTGGCTTTTTGGTATGGGACTACATTGGTAATAGAGGAAAATTACAGTATTGGAGGAATCCTTACAGTAAGTGTTGACAATTAGCTGTGCAACTTTATTTTGCAAAAATAAAACAACATAAAATTAATAATAACCAATTTCTAAAGTTGGGTCTTTTATGTGGAAACAATTTTACAATGTACATGTACAAATCCATTTTATAATTTATCAGTTAGAAGTTTGTTTGATCTTGAAAAGCTAAGCATGTAGGAGATCATCACATAGTCCCAAGGCAATAGACAGGAATAGGAAGGTCAAATGGTATCTTGGAAGAAAGCAATTGAAATCCATATCTCTATTATTGGCAAGAAAATTTTGTGAAGTTGAGGTTAACTTGAAAGAGACTACACTGTTATTAGAGATGGCTATCAACTCCCAGTCTTGCTTATGGATGTCCTGGAAACATCATCTCAATGGCAAAGGAGATAAACTTCTCCTTGGGTTGAGCCATCAGAGTAGCATGTTGCTTCCTCTGCTATTTGGTTTTTTTAATAACTTATGCAAGAGGAGCCTTGCTCCACTTTATGTTATGACAAAGTTGCTTGGACAAGATTGGATTTCTCTTTAAGAATACACTTTTGATTCTGTTTATTTTCTTTCTGCTTCTTCCATTGTGTCCTTTGTTGCAGGTTCTGCTGGTAACTGCCCTGTTCATTGGATTCTAGTTATTCTAAATCTCCCTGCCCTTTTCTTAACATTCCACTTCAATTCCCATTAGCCCAGGCTGCCACCTGAAATATGCCTTAGCACATGTACTGGCTTCCTTTCATTGTGCAGCCCAGCATGATTCTTTTTCCAGTTTCCACAATCATTACGTTAGGACAGTTGAAGATAAACAAAGCTGTATATTATTGTTTGGCGAGGCATTGCATATTTTCTGCCTTGAAACTCTCCCAACTAGCTATTTGTAGTATATTTATAGAGCATGTTTATTTTTAATCCTTTTCTTTTTGCCTGCCAAGTATTAGAAGCAACCATAGTTCTTAAACGGAAAAGGCCTGAGAGGTGAGACCACGTCATATTTTGCTCAAAGGTTTTCTGAACTATGATGTTTTTAAGGTGTTTTTAGGAAATGGTGCAGGGATATTTAATGCCAAACACTATATTGCATTGCAGCTTAAGATAGTAAAAAGAGCATGGTTTTGCAGGGGAATTTTTGGCTTGCCAAGTTCAGTAAATATTGGAGCATGCATCGAAGTAAACTGCATGTAGCACATAGGCAAATTGTAATTCTAAGAAATGACAAAAGGAATTTTCATGCTGATTGGCAGGGGTGGGCTAAATGTGATTCACAATTCCTTCTATGCAACATAGTTTTTTTACAGAGGGAAGTCAAAACCTGCAAAATTTGATCACCTGTCATTTGTAGATTTTGACCTCTAGTTTCAGTGTATTTTAAAAACTATACCACATGATCTAAAGTAGGATTAACTGCTATTTAAAATCTAAGGAAAAAAGCCAACTGAAAAAAGGAAAATAGATCTTGACGAACAGAAGGAACAATCACTACCAAGACAATGGTCAGATAAAAGAAACCTGACTCGAGGCAGATCTATAATCTGAGAAAGCATCTAAGACAAGATCCTCTCTAATTCCTAGGAAGATAATGGAAGGGAACTGGAAGCACATTCTTCAGAATTCTGTTATTTTAACCTTATGATAAATGTAGCATTTACATGAGTTTGTTTTCCTAGTTTAGTTTACCTTGAAGAGCTGACATTATAACACAAATGTATCTCCTTTGTATTGTTGCCCAATCTCAGCTCCTTTCCTGAAATTATTACTGTTCTCTCCAGCTTTGTAGGAATAGTTTAAGTCCAAAATACCCCTAATTTACCATCCGTTTTGATCTTGTGTGTCTCTTTACTTATTTAAAAATGTTGTAAACTGGCAGTATTTGGACCCCCTCCCTCCTGTCTATTGTGTCAACTGAAAACATTGACTTCAGTACAAAGACCAGACCAGCTTGCATTATTACACATCATTCTGTTTTAGTTTGTATTTAACTATATTTTAGTTTACTTTTATACCTTTATTTTTGTGTATTATAATATTTTCTTTGTTTTTATTTTACTTGTGAACCACCCAAAGTCATTGAGAGTCAGGACAGTCCACTAAATAAATAAAAAATAATAGGATAAAAAATAAAGAAATATATATCGCAATTAAAAACCCCATATATTTACTCTTTAAAAGTTTACTTTGATAGTGCAGAGGATTAGAATTTGGTTAGACTATTTAGTTTACTTTATTATCATTGCACCTCATACAACAAAATCAAACACCATCTTCAGTGCACATCATGACCATGAAAATAAACACAAACACACATCCTTCATACTTCACACATTGAACCAAAACCCCCAGCAGCGCACCAACACTGCACTATACAGTGGAATTCAATAGAGTTACTGCCCTGTGATAGAAGCTGTTTTTCAGCCTATTTGTGCTTGTTTTTAATATTCTGTACCGTCTGCCAGATGGTAATAGTTCAACAAAAGGGTTCCCAGGATGAGATAGATCTTTGAAAATATTTTGAACTTTCTTAAGGCAGCGGGAGCTATAAAGCTCTTCCAAAGAGGGGAGAGGGCAACCAATGAACTTCTGGGCAATGACGTTAACCCTCTGGAGTGCTGTCCCATGTGCCACTGTGCAATTGGCAAACCATACAGAGGTGCAGTAAGTTAAGATAATCTCTGTGGTGCAGCGATAGAAGGTCACCAGAAGTTTTTCATTCAGTTGTTGTTTTCTGAGAAATCTCAAGTAGTATAATCTCTCCTGGGCCCTTTTGACCAGTGCTGCAATGTGAGCACCCCTGGTCAAGTCCTCTTTTATGGTAACACCCAGAAACTTAAAACTTCATTTTTAAGTTTTAATATTATCTCAGTGAAAATGGCAATATTTTCCTACAATGCAAATTTTGAAATGGCTACTTATACCATAACATTTGCATGCTGAATGAAGTTTATTCCAACACTATACTGAGAATATTCCAGGGACAGGATTCTATTGGTTCGGCCCGGTTCAGGCAAACCAGTAGCTCCGTAAATCATCTGGGAGTGAACCAGTTTGTACCGTTGATCAGCTGTTTTGCCCACCTGCCCGCCCTGGCTCTAGTCTGTGCTTAATTTCTGATTTTTCCAGCTCAGCTGCTTCATGCAGCACAGTGGATTGCCATGCACCAGCTGTTTTACACACAGAGCTTGCAGCAGAAGGTGATTTTTAAATGCTGCATGCACGCAAAGCACACATTTGATGCGTGCACACAAAGCGCACGCTCACTAAACTAGTTCAAACGTTGTTACAGTGTTTGAATCCCACCCCTGGAATATTCACTTGCAAGCATCATTATTTCCTGAAGTAGATATTTTTTGCTTCCTGAACTTCAACTAATCATTTTTATATTACTTTATATGGAAACTGTACAGCTAATAATGGATGTTTCTTTTTGTTCTGAAACTTTTGTTCTTGTGTGTAGGTCTTCTTTTCTGTGCTCATTGGAGCATTTAGTATTGGCCAAGTCTCTCCAAACCTAGAAGCATTTGCTACTGGCAGGGGAGCTGCATATGTAATATTCAAGATAATAGACAATGTAAGTATCCTTTTTAGAATTATGCCTATAAATGAGAAGAGCCAAAGAGTTAGAGATCTGTTAAAAGTTTTAATCATCATTGGTGAAAACCAAGTGACAAGGCCATTATCTTCCAATGTTTGTGGCATGATTTGTAGGAGAAGAACATGTAGAGCTGGGAGATGGAATTAAGCATATCATCAGCTTAGACTCATAATATTTCCACAAATGGTCCAGCTCTGACACCTCATGAATTCACTAACCTGGCATCAATTTAGTATTGAATATTAGTTAACTAGATTCTTATGTATAACCTTGAGCAATAAATCTGAACTGCAACTTAATATATGGTCCTTTGCTCCTTGGATGATTAGAACTACAATAGAAGTAGTCCTTGACTTACATGATGCTGGTTGCAGAGTATCTTAAATGCAATCACATGTCCAGAGACCAGGCAGCCACCAGAATGTTTGAACCATGTCATAAATATCTTTGGGTGTGGGGTGGGGAGGAATCTATTGTAACTTTAAATGGTCAATAAGGAATTGATTGTAGTTTAAGGATTATTTGTGATTGGCTCATGCAACAGTCCAGATGACCATTAAATAGAGGCAAGAGTTTTTGCTGCTCTCTATTGATTGGCTGGATTTTGTAGCCTTAGGCATGTGGCAAACATTTCAGATTTGTTTTTCAAATCTATGCATACCTAATTCTTTAAATCTAGCCATTGCAAATATGGTTAATTGCCTCTTTCTAGTTTTTATTGAATAGCCATGCAAGTCTAATTTAGTATTGAATATTAGTTAACTAGATTCTTATGTATAACCTTGAGCAATAAATCTGAACTGCAACTTAATATATGGTCCTTTGCTCCTTGGACTAACAATAACTAACTAACAATGGACTAACTAACAATAACAGTAAAAACTAAAAGGCTGTATGCATTTCAACATTAGCTAAGAAGTCAACAGAGAAAATAGATTTGTAGATGCATTTCTCACTACAGTGAAATGATCCGCTCAGTTCATTGATGATATATTTTTAGGAATAGAATAAAGTAGGGACTATTAGATGAATGATAAGAATATCTGTAGAGTGTTGTACAGCGTGACAACTAACACTAAAGAAAGTAACATTAAATCAGTCTTTGCACTTACTCTGTAAATGGATAATGTAGATAGGTTAATGTATAAGCAATAACTTTATGGCTTCAGCAAGCATAGTTGAAGAATAACAAAAATCAGTAAGAAATTGCCTAGGAAACCAAAACAGAATTTGAAACATGTATAGAGGAACATGAAGGAGAAAAAAAGATATGTCAATTTTATTTTGAGTATATTTTTAATGAGAACTTTGGTTTGTTTCTATAAGCTAAGCCAAGAGACAGTCCATGAAATTATTTGAAAAGGGAAATGTAGGTCAGCGACAAGGAACAATGCTAAAATGTAGTTCCTAAAGATCTAAATTGTCAGTAAACAAAGATGTAAGATCATACATTACACAATAAATCAAAATATATTTAATTATAGTTTTGACTTGAATCAGAATTGATTAGATTTATAAATAGTAAGCTATAACTCATTGCTTATAAATCACAATGGGTAGATTCAGACATTATATTAAGTTAAAACCAAACTATGATACTATGGCTAAGCACTGATTTTACCAACAAGATATCTTCTAGAACTTTTAGGTAATTCTCAGATCTTCTGGAATTTGAAGGTTGAGCAAGGTTGCACATAATTCACTGTGTCCAACCAATGTGAAAAACAATTATGATTACTTATGTAAAAATAGCAAATAGGTAAACTTTCATGTTATACATCTTGCTTACAATATTTTCTTTTGTTTTCAATCTGAAAATGAATGAAACTATTTGGATTTAATTTGTTATTTCCTTTTATGTAGGAACCACAAATTGATATTTATTCAGAAAGTGGCTATAAACCTGACAAAATTACAGGAAATCTCAGTTTCCAAAACGTATATTTTAATTATCCAGCAAGGCCAGATGTTAAGGTATCGTGAATTAAATGAGAAGTTTTTTTTCACTACTACCATTTAAATTATAACTTTCAGTTTCAAATATTAAAGGAAGGTCTTAGTACTGTATACAACTTTATTTAGAACTGGCAAAGGAATATAAAGTGGTGCAAATAAATGTACTAAGCTGTTTCTACAAAGACTTCATAGCATAAACACCATATTATTGCTTTAAATTAGATTTTCCTACAGGTTCCTTTCAAATGGGCTGGAGCCACATTTGAATTTTCAGTCACCATAAAAATTCCATCAGTTACAGTTTCTTTTTTATTTCCTTTTTATTTTTTTACATTTAAAGTTTTTAAAAGTTTATCGAAGTATAGAATACAAAGAAAAAAAGCATGAAAAAAGTAAAAAGAGGGGGAGGGAAAAAGAAGGGATATAGTGTAATTGGAGAAAAAAGAAAGAAAAGGGCATTGATTTCCGATTCTCTAGCACAGTAGAAAGTAACATTAACAACCCCAACATTTTGTTTTTGCACAACAGTATATACAAGGCATTTCTATAACAATAAGCTATCTGGTTTACAAAAACAAATCCAAAGTTTCACTGTTTTTTTTCCACTGAAAGCACAAAATCCGGAAGCAATTTCAAAATAGAGACAAAATTAAATTTATTCTTTTTGTTTGATAAAAGAATCAGTTTAACCATCTCTGCTTCTCTTGATGTGGGGGGATAATATATCATTCATTCTCATTTTTTCAAATCTAGTCAATATTTTACAAACTTTGGAATATTATTCATCATTACTGAAAGAACCTCAAGACATGCATTTACATCCATACTCATTTTATACATATAAAACTAACTTAAAGCTGTCTATCAGTACATGTATCAAACTTTTAAAAGTCCATCCTAATTAAATAAAACGTTAAATTTAGGTCACTCACTCCAGCTTATCTTCATAGAATAGTTTTTTCTTCTCAGGAGAATCTTATCAGATCTCTTTTCTTGAAAAAGTTCTCAGCTTTATTTATAGCCATGAAAAAAAAAGTCCCAAAGTTGTTCTGTTAGATGATATAAATTAGTCTGAAACAAATTTTCCCAGATTAAAGTTTCCTTCACTGAGATGGCTATCATATCCTTTTTTCTCAAAGAATTCTTGACCTTGTTAGTATCCATAAAGCAATAGTCCCAAATTTGACCTGTTAAGAATTGTGAATTTACTTGATATTCTTGTTTTAGTTGCACTGGGAGGGTTACACTTGCATCATCGTCATAAGATCGAAACTGATGTCAGATTTATATTCTGAAATTACAGTTATGTTATTTGCATTATCTAGTATTTGTAAAGTTGACACAGTAGGTTGATAATTTTCTATACCTAACTGTGTCTCTTGTTCTATTTTAATATCCTCTGTGTAATTAGTGTATTTGGACAGATTCATGAAATGATGAACATTTTCTAACGACTAGTGTGTTTAATAACAGATACTAGCTCAGAATTAGACCACTGTCTAGTGGTCAAATACATTTATTTATTTGTTTGTTTTCTTTTTTTTTCTGGCCAGAGTCCTTCAAATTGGCAGATTTCAACCACCCACAATAAAACAATACAGAGCACCTAATTATTTTAATATAATAAATTAAAGCCACATCTTTTATCCTTAGATTTCAAGAGAAATATACTCCATGCTTCCTTATTTTGGCTACCTCTGGCAATCTTCTCCCTGTTGTTTAATAGTAAAGAAGTCTCAAAAATGGTGTTGGAAGCTTCAAAAAGGAGTAGTAATCTGTAACTAAAGAGAGCCTTTTTTTTAACTTATAAAGGTAATAGTCCCATAAACTGTTTAAGAAATGAAGGTCGTAGCTTATTGTCCATTTGAAAAATAAATTCCAAAACTTCTGCTTCATCCCACAATGACGTGATTTCATCCCTCCCTCCCAGCTTCAGCTCACCAGTTGTTCTGGAACCTCAGCTTCTAAAACTGCTTGCAGGTTGTTGCTGTTATGGGAGGATTTTAAGGGATGATTCTGATTCTGGGACTTTCCTTAACCTCAGAGAGACAAGTAGACAAAAGGAAGCGTCTTCTTTCTATTGTTGAGTTGGAAAATGACAGTCCAGAGAGAAGAGATTCTTTGGGCATGTTAGTTGCCAGCTGTAAGTTACAGTTCTCCATTGGGTAGGAGATATACTGTAGAAGCATAGCTAGACGCACCAAGAGGCTGACGGGTGTGCACAAAGGGAGACTCAACTAATCTCATTGTACACATGTTGTACTCTGACAATAATTTTGATTTGATTTAGATTTGAGTTCCAAACCTTTTGAGACTACCGAAGTAGAGAAGTCTTCTGTAAAATGTGTGAAATGTAATGTAATTAATGTTGTGCCCTGAATGCTCCCTTGGTTTTGTTTTTCCAAACAAACAAAATTTCCTGTTCATACAAAAATGCCAGTGGTTGAAGCAATAATAAATGTGGCATCAAAGTAGCTTGAAATCTTTTTTTGCCAATAGAATTTACTGCGAGTAATCTTAAATATATTTCATTTCCATCTATTATTTCTGTATGAACTTGTGTTAAGGCTGCGTGGTCTATGGCACGAGTATCAAATTTGATCACGTCACGTGACATATCATGATGTATCACAATATTTTTTGCCTTTGCAGCGCAGGGGTGGGCGTGGCCTGCACTTGACGCATCCAGCCCATGGGCAGCCAATTTGACAGCCCTGGTCTAGGAGCATGGATATCTCTCTGCCATTATTTTGTGAAATAAAACACTTTTTATTGTGGTTTATGATCCAGCACCTTATCCTATTTTCCTCATTCAGGTATTAAAAGGTCTGAATCTTCAGATCAATAATGGACAAACAATAGCCCTGGTTGGCAGCAGTGGTTGTGGAAAAAGTACAACTGTCCAACTGATACAAAGGTTTTATGATCCCTTGGAAGGCATGGTAAGAATACCTGGAACACATTTTATATTCAATATCAGATAACTTTCCACAGGCAGGGGAAAAAAATCATTATGCCAGAATGAGTACAGTACTTGAAGTCAAGCAGGTGGTGGCAGCATTGGAAACAAGATTTGGAATGATATCAGATACTGTAATCAGAGTCTCTTGATAGTGCTTGAGACTTCTTTTATTCACCAAATTCACCATATCAGGTAGTTCCAGGAAGAGCAGGAGATGAGGATGAAAGAGGAGATCTATATACCATTTACATTGCTGAAATGATAGCTAAAGGGATTTTTAAACACTCAAATGCCTTGTGTGTCTCATCACACTTGACCAATACAGTATTATTTTTCTCTTCTCTTCTCTTCTCTTCTCTTCTCTTCTCTTCTCTTCTCTTCTCTTCTCTTCTCTTCTCTTCTCTTCTCTCTATTCTATTCTTCTAAAGGGTTTTTTACTTGGAAAACCTAACTTAGTTTGATATGGTAACCATTTTGCGTATAATGCAGAAGGAAAATGAAAAAAAGTACTTTGGAAAACACATGAAAAGCTATTTCATTACAGAAAAGCTGTTCTAAACATTAACTTCAGTCTTTCTTCAATACAATATTTATCCAGAGTTCTTGGGAAATTAAGTTATAAAGTAATACATGATATATTGATTGACTTAAATTAATATATCCTAATTTTTATTGCTGGTTATCTAGCCACTTTAGTTAAACATTAAAAATTAAAAATTGTTTTATTTTCTAGACTGCTTTAAGAGTGGCTATATCCTCAAAAGATTTCAAATAAGAATAATAAACATTTCTGTGACACACAATAGTCAATGTAAATAATGCCAGAAGAACAATTTTCCTTTGTTTTTGAAATATTTAATCACATTCTTGTCAAATAAAGAACTTAAAAGTAGTATGCAATAAAAACCTATTGTATTAAAATAACTCATATAATATTATCAAGAATAGGATAAAATAAAATAACTGATTTTATTTTGTTTTAGATTACCATTGATGGACAGAATATTAAGACCCTGAATTTAAGATATCTGAGGGAAATTATTGGTGTTGTGAACCAGGAACCTGTACTATTTGCCACAACAATTGCAGAAAACATTAGATATGGCCGTGAAAATGTCACCATGGAAGAGATGGAAAAAGCTGCCAAAGAAGCCAATGCGTACGACTTCATCATGAATTTACCTGAAGTGAGAAAATATATTGATTATTGCCTTTGGTTATTCTAATGTCCTAAGTTACAATGCTTTGTAGTGCTCTAAATTACAGTAGATATGTTGGTAACATAAAGAAGCATAACATTAGCATTACAGTTCTCAGCAAATATCGTAGTTATAACCCAAGCTGTCTGGAAGACAGGTGGTGGGGAATTACTAGCCTAAGGTGATGTATATATTTCATTTATTTCAGCTTTATTTATTGATACTAATAGCATCAGTAAAACTATATGGAGCCCTTGAAAACCTTTGTAGGAATGGAAATGGTAATCCAAACCAGTTTTTTTAAAGTTTCCTGGTGCCATCAGAAAATAATCACAACTGATGTAATTTCACAAGCACTATGACTGGACCAACTGGAATTATGGGAACTATAATCAACATGTGGATATGTTGACCAGATCATGGAAGATTGTTCTGAACTACCTGAGTTTACACACTGCTAATTCAGTTTTCCTTTAGCTTTAATTACTGTACTGAAAAGCACAAATGGTAAGGTTCTTGCTACATTGATATTCTATGTACAGCATATGGCCACCCAGCATCACAAGAGAACAAGTACCAGTTATTGGACTAGAACTGGGGAGATCCAGATTGAAGTCTACTCTCAACCTTGGAAACTTACTGCTTTGATCCAGTTACACTCCCTTAGTCTATCTTATCTCACAGAATTAGGGGGAGTGGGGAATTGGAGGAAGTAGATCTGCATATATCATTTTAAACCCCCTTAGGAAAAAAGGGATATAAATAAAACAAATATGCTAATACAATTCATAAAAGAATGACTACTTTTTAAAAATCCATGTATATTATATGATATGCTTCTGGGAAGTGCTCTACTCCCACTCCTAACAATCCACAAAATATTTAAAAAATGAACTAAACAATTTCAGCTATGCCCTTTCTGATGACATCATAAAAATCAATGGATATTCTTATTCCTGATGCAGCTGTTCAGAAGGTCTGGAGCCTGGGTTCTGCTTCCCATCCCCTTCAAATGGTACCAAACAATACTATGTCATTGTTTTTCAAATTTAACAACTTTAACAAATGTGGACCAACTCTCAAAATTCCCAGTCAGCCTTGCTTGTTGGGTAGTTATGAAAGTTGGTCCACACATCTCAAAGTTCCGTATTTGAAAATCTTTGCACTAGGTCGTTCATGATGTATTAGCAACTTTTGCACTAAAATGTCCCAAGTAGGCATATACAATTAAAATAAAAGGCATTCTTGAAATCTCATGACATTTTAAGATTACCATTGATCATTGCAGGGGTTTTGGAAGCTTTGTATTATTAAGTATGTCTTTATACCATAGGGCTAATTTCATGCAGCACATTCAGCCAAAAGCAAAAAAACTTTTTTATGGCTTAATGTAATGTAAATTTTGCTATTGTGATCTGTAAATTATGGTTTATGGATTAGTGTTCTGAATTAAGCCCTTTAAGGTTTATTTAGCAAATCAAGGTTCAACCAAATGATTTATAAACCAGTTGATAGTATTAACTATTAGGTTACTTGCATTATGGAGATGGGAAAACATTCCTTAAAATATCAATATTTTGTTCAGGTTTTCTTTCTTGCCATTGAATATAGGGTGTGTTTGCAGAAGAAATAGGCTTCTTCGTCTTATTCATCGATTTGCTGCTTAATTTCAATTGAACTGTTGTACCACTCATACTGATGCTACCCTTCATGACAACTTCACTACTAATTCTAAGTTATGAAGTTAAATGTGTTTTGTTGTTACTCTGCAGAAGTTTGAAACTGTGGTTGGTGAAAGAGGAGCACAGCTAAGTGGAGGACAGAAGCAACGGATAGCGATTGCCAGGGCTCTTGTGCGGAACCCCAAAATTTTGTTACTGGATGAAGCTACATCTGCTCTGGATACAGAAAGTGAAGCTATTGTACAGGCAGCTTTGGATAAGGTCCTTAAAAATGAAAATGAACCTAATACATTAAAGGAAGGGGCAGTGGTGGGAAGCTGATAAAAAAAATCTGACTAAAACAGTGAATTGCAGTACTTCATTTGCCCAATGAGATCTTCTCTCTAATCTCCTTTGCCTCTTTGAAACCTTCTGCTAAGAATCAGCAATATTCAGTAGAAACTGATGTTGGGCTGCAGATAGGAGATATGTGAAGATCAGGTCCCAGGAGTTTTACTTCTCAATATAGCTTGATATCACTGATACATTCTTTTAATATAGTTGACTTACAAGAAATTCATTACTTGTTTGGAGGTTACATCAGTAATACTTATTGGATTTGAAGAAGCATTCATCCAAATCAGTTGGCAATACTGCCTGAATACAATGGAAGTATTAAACACAGATTTGGACAGCATCATATTGGGAGGGGGGATTCCAACAATTGTAGCTTAGAATTTCCAAAATGCGTGGCTGATATGTTTTTTTTTCAAAAGCTGAGGAGTAAAAAGGTTTAATATGTTCTCTAGAAATGGGAGACTTAAAACAGGTCAAAGTCCTTGTTTAATAAGATACTGGCAGCAAATTTTAGGCATAGATTCACACAAGACTTCCTTTGAGTCAAGTTCAGCTTGTGGTGACTTCATGAACACATTCATGCAAGTTTAAAAAAAATAAAAAACAGAGAAGTTATTTGGCATTTTTTCCTAGATTAATTTATAGCCCAGATCCCATCCAAGTACTAATAAAATCTACCTCTGATTAGCTTTGTAAAATCATAAGTTAAGTGAATTATTATATCTTCACAGGATAATATAATGACAAAGATTTTGGCAGTCAGCTATCTGTACTTTTTTTGCAATAGTGGTGAATTTAATATAAATATATATTTATATAAAATATAAATATAAATAAAATATAAATATAAATATGATACAAATTCTTTTTTGTCACCTTTTTCATTACCATCAATCCTGAAATATAACCAAGGAAACTTTCAGAAAAAAATAGATTCCAACCAAAGAGGTAGATTTCCTGCTTGATTACAGTCTAGGATATTTGGATTTAATTTTATGCCCTAATATCCTTCTCTCTCTGAATGATCTTGGACAAATCATTCACTTTTCTGCCCAGTGCAAATATTTATTCATGAACTGCCAATATGTCCATTGTTTTAACAATTTGCAAAAGGTTAAAGGCAGGGGTGGGATTCAACCGTTGTTACTACCGGTTCGGTGACTATGTTTTGTACGCGCATGTAAAAAACCTTAAGCTGTGTCACCTGGACAGCTGAAAAGCGCTGCATGGGTGCATAGTGTTTGAAAAGCCACTTTTTTCCTGCTTTTTCAACCTCAGCTGTGCCGCCAAAGCAGCTGAGGTTGAAAAAGCAGGAAATAAAGGACAGGTAAGAGCCCAGGCAAGCGTGTGGGCCAAACAGCAGCAAACACAGAACCAGTTCGGTGTCTGCTGCTCTTCAGAGCTACTGGTTCTATAGAGCCAGGCAGAACCAGTAGCATCTCACTCCTGGTTAAAGGGAAAAAGGCATGAAAGCTTCAGTCTAATTATATTAAATTATATTAAATATGAAAATGAGGTAAATGAACATCTCATAGTTTTAATTGAATCTGGATATGTATTTCAGGCAAGAGAAGGCCGCACAACGATTATAGTAGCTCATCGTTTGTCTACAGTCCGAAATGCAGATCTTATAGTTGCTTTTGAAGATGGGGTCATTAGCGAGCAAGGAACCCATTATGAGCTTATGAAAAAGAAAGGAGTTTATTTCAAACTTGTCAATATGCAGGTAGGCATCATTTTTGCTTGCCATGTCCCCATAATTTTGCTTTCATTTTGTATCCAACTCAAGGATGAGACTCTTTTATGCTTTAGGTTGGAAGTCAGCTGAAATATGGGTAAAATCTGATACTTTGCATATTTATTATTTGCCGTATATTATTATTATTTATACTGAAAACAAAGCCAACTGATCAGAAGAGGATAGGATCAGAATGGTATTCATTGGCAATTTACAGCTGATGGAGGCCCTCCATTTTCTATCAGTCTCTGGTCAGTGTCATCTTCCTCCATTCTGCCATAGCCTCCTTAAAAAGCTGGATATAGCAATACTGTGCCAAGAGTCTGTGCCGATTATGCAGTTTACTAGACTCAGCCAGTCTCTATAGACCCACGCCTAAGCTTGTACCAGTAAAACAGCAGAACAATGTAATGGTGAAAAAGAATGACAGTGAAATAACATAAAACATTGAAATGATGGAACCAGCCCTTCTCATGGCCTCTCAAACAGAGGATGGAGCAATTCAAAATCGGGTCAGAGCTAATACAACTAAATCTGTAAAAAACTAAATTTTGTGTCCATTTATTTTTCTTCTGGATGAATGGCTACTTCTTAACTCAGAGATAGGGAAAGTTTCAAATACTGTTTATCAGAAGCAAATTGAAAAAAACCCTGAGTGCCTTTTCTAGGGCTCAAGCACTCAGCTGTATTTTTTATTTGTTTTTCCTGAGTGAGCGGGCACGCTTTGCACTTAGAGGGCTAAATCCACTCACCATTTTCATTTACAAAAAATATTACAGGTTCCACATAGGATTTCAAACAGCAATTGATCAATCAGGCAAATGTTAGATGCTGCTAACTTCCTACTGTAATGGCCAGTTCTGTTTTACAGCCAGGGTCATTCTGTGGTCTGAAGAATGTCTCCCTAGAGATACAGAATATATTATTCACAGATAAAAGAATAAAACCAGACAGAACCTATGAGAGGGAGGGAATAAATGAGAGGGAGGAAGAGAAAGAAAGAGAGAATAATTATTGTTTACAGTATCATCATCCATTACTGAATTTCTGAGAATAAAACAAATTTTAAAAAACATCACAAGTAGCATCAATACATTTCAACTGGACTCTATGTTCCAGGCATTATTTAGAGATCTAAAATCTTTTATGTTACTTCATCCTGTTTGTTCAGGCAGTTTCCACTGAAGCTGAATCAGAAGAGTCAGTAGAAGAAGAACCCCATCTGAAAAATAACCCAGAAGATATAAGCAAAGATGCTTTTTCCAACAAGCTGAGGAGATGTTCTACTCGCAGAAGTATTAAAAAGTCAGAAATGGAGGAAAAAGACCTTGAGGTCCAGATAGCTCAGCCTGTAAGTGTTTTGGGTTTAGAATTATGCATCTTAGGAACAAGTTGTTAATTGTATTTTGTTTCTATCTATTTTAGCTGGGATCTGCAACAGATTGTTCTGCTAAATAATATTTCTATTTATTGTTCCAGTCAGTCAACAGAACCTATTGTCGAGGTACTCTATCAGGTTTTCCATCCAGCCATTGGGCTTCCCATCTGCCCACTCCAAATAACCATGCTTAGACTTCATTGGAGTCATTCACAGATTTTTTTTTCTTTTTACAAGTTTTGATGCATTTTTTGTAGACGTTGCTGCTTTGACTGTCCCAAACTGTGACAGGAGGACAGGGCCTCAATGCAGGGCTAGGAGTGCAGCTCCACCCTTTTGGCTTATCCTAGCCAGACATTGAATGTTACTTTCATAATATATATGCATGTTAGTGATGCATGCCAAACAAAATGACCCAGCATGAGGCCTATTCATCTTCAAAAGTTGTTGTTGGAACTTGCAAAGACTGTTGGGCACATGCAAACTTTTGAAATTTGGGAGGTGGGAATCAATGTTATGATATTAATTTTTAAAAAATGTATCTTACAGCACACATGCACTTGCATACATATGTATGTGCATGTATTCCTGGAATCCAGTGAATAATATGTTATATTATATTTCATCTCTTTCCATATTCTAGGATGAAAATATTCCCAAGGTTTCATTTCTTAAGATTATGAAGTTAAATCGATCCGAATGGCCTTACTTTTTAGTGGGAACACTTGCTGCTCTGGTCAATGGAGCCCTGCAGCCTGCATTTTCAGTAATATTCTCAGAAATCATAGGTGTGAGTATTTGATATATATAATAAATTTTATATATTCCCATGTCATCATATGATAGGTTCTGCTTTCAATATTCATTCCTACCCCATGATTTAAACCAGTATTGAATCTTCAAAAAGATAGCTTTATAAGTATGGGATAATTCTTAACAGAAATTGTCTGAAATTTAATTAATAGCTTTATAAAATGCACATAGCCTACTGGCTAACATAAAGTTTACACCTCAGGGATTCCTTCATGAAATCTCCCTCAAGTTGAGCTTGATTCTTGGCAATTATGTGAATAGATCTATAACAGAAGCAGCACTTAGACTTACATACCACTCCACGGTGCTTTTACATCCCTCTATAAATGGTTTACAGAGTCAGCACATTGCTCCCATCATAAAATGTTCTTCAAGCTACATAGGTAGCTTACCATTGCCTTTCTTCAAGATTTTTCCCTGTAAAACCTGCTGACGAACTCAGTCCAACCTTGCTTAACCCTTGTTTTGTGATTATCATTGGCAAACAGTTGCCAGTGGCAGGCAATCAGTTTAGATTACCTAATATATATGTGTCTACAAAGCCATCTATAGAGAAAGAATTTCATTGTTTCCTCAGGGGAATAATAGTACAACAGACATAAGCCCAGGTCTGTGATCTGATTTTTTTTTAATGGCCACAGGATTACTAAAAAATAGTATGTGATTTATATTTCTATTTACAACCTTCCATGCCAACTTCCCGCAAACAAAATCAATGGGGAAGAGCAAGTAGAAGGTTACAAGTTTCTTCCACAAGTTTCTCCTGTTCTCACTGCTTTTTCTTCCGAGGAGCCCCATTTAGTTTAAGCTGCCTTGAGAATGATTAGAATTGAGAATTGAACAATGTCATGCAGACTTATCTTTTAAAAATTGTTGTATATAGACATTTGCATACTCGTAATACTACGTTCCGATTGGACTACCACTGCCGTCTAGCGATTGGTGGTTAACAACTGATATGATTGGTCCGCCAAACGGCGGGAGGTTTAAAATGATGCCATTGGCCACGAGCCGCGAGCAGCCGCTATAAAAGAGGCTGCCGTGGCTCGAGTTTAGTTGAAGTTACTGACAGTTAATAAAGAGCTGAACTCAACTCCGGTCTTGAGTCTGTCTTTGTTCTGCGACAGAACAAAAATTATTAAAAGAGGTTTTCATTTTGTGATGTACTGAACATAAAAAATTATATTATCTAAGCAATATGAAGTACTACATTGGAAGTGAATGAAATAAAACTAAAGCTGAAATTATTGTTTCCATAGATTTTTGCAATAAGAGAACCCAACATTCTGCGTGAAAAGAGCAATCTCTATTCACTGCTGTTCTTAGGAATTGGCATTGTTTCCTTCATCACCTTTTTTCTTCAGGTAGGTTTCATTGTTTTATTCTTATCATTTTAGATGGATTCTGAAAATACCCAGGAAGAAGAAAACTCAAGGAATTTCTACCAATTTCTGCCAAGAGATAGATCCAGACATTTGTGATCTTCAGATATATAGCATTCTAGAGCTATTATTAAATCAGGAAAAACAATAGTCTTTCTCATTACATTCCCTTGGTATATCTATTTGGTCTGAATCTTGGATAAGTTTCCTTATATTTTGGGGAACTGTTTTGATGCTTGCGTGGCTATTTTGAAAATTAGTGCTTTAATTATGGAAAGGAAAACATTGTAACTGAGTCTTAATGTAGTGTATTTTAAATTATTCTACTGGCATTTTAAATTCTTCTTCTTCATGATAATTAAACTATCATTGAACCATATAGCACAATATTAGTCTAATTAAAATGTGGATTGTACTAATAGTCTCTAACCCTATTTATCTTAGGAAGCAATTTAAGATGGAAATGAAATGGTCCAAAAGGGGAAAGAGCTAAATATAAAATCTGTTGGACTTTGATGGAACAATTGTTTCCATGGGTAGCCACAGAATGTGTTCAGAAAAGGCAAGTTAGTGGCCACAATGGTGCTATTGGAGCTTTGTCTACTTTTTAGATGTGGAGCTTAAAAACCAGCAGGGCATAAAAAACATTTTAACTGTTATCTTGATTTTGTTTTTACTATTCCCTCTGAATGTTTGTTTTCTAGGAATTTTATTTTCTCTCCTATGAAAAGAACATTGTACTGCTCTTTCATTTGGCTTTGTGTTGCTTTTATATTTGCTGCAATCAGGTACAACATTCTTCTCTTTCAGGGCTTCAGTTTTGGCAGAGCTGGAGAGATTCTTACAATGAAGCTACGTTACATGGGATTCAAAGCAATACTTAGACAGGTATGCAGAAGAAATGTACCCGTTTGTTTTGTTGCTTTTATATTATTTCACCCAATTAGTCATGGTTTGTTGTACATTACAAAATGTATGATAATATACAAAACATCCAGGGAGTAATGTGAATTATATTTCTCAAACAATGCTTTTCCTTGTAGTGTAATAAAGTATAATTTAATCATTTTAAACTAATAGACTCCATGGTATGTACTTTGTTTTTTTCCAAAGGCAAGTCTAACAATGTTTTAAATATCAGTTTTCTTATTTAAAACAATCTCAAAATTCACCACAGTTAGAAAGTTTAATATTTTATTTTTATTTTATTTGAGAAATGTATGTGACCACCCACTTACTCACAGAGATTCTGGGCAGCTTATAAGCAGTTATTAATTATTATTATTAATAATATTTTAGAAATTAGCTGTTATATAGGGTTTCTAGTCTACTGCAGTTATTGAAACACAGTGTAGTATTGGTTAGATGCTAGGCCATGTTTAGAGAGATTCAAGATTAAATCTAAACTTAGATTATTTAAAATCATCAGTAAATTTGAGTCTATCTCACAGAACTTTTGCTGTGAGGAAAAACATGGTAGCATTATACAGTATATGTGTGTTGAATCCTACAAGGAAACATGGTGTATAAACCTATATAGCAAATATTAAATGAATATACAAATGAACAATGCAAATTAGCAACATTACTTTCCAATGTCAATCAGTGGGTGTGTTGAAATATCTTTCGAATGGGTATAAAAAATTAATTCAATTGGGTAGATTTTTTTCTAAACATTTCCCATAGTAGGGAACCTATTTCTATGAAACATTTAATGTTGTGCTTTATTGCATTAGTTTTTAAAAATTGCTCTTTAGTTCTCATTAATAACAATCCACTTTTTCTATTCATTTTTCATCATTTGGGGTATTTATGGTTTTCTTTTCTTCCTTCTTCGAAAAAAAAATCTGGAATTCTCATATAAAACCATTATCATAGCAAAAGGTTTCATATGTTCTTAAGCTAAAGCATGTTTGATAGATATTAGCATACTCACCCCTAATTGGTTGTTCGATGGGAGCAGGAATTTAAACAGCCATCACTGGTTAAAGCCATGGACAGCTCGGCTATAAAAGGAGCTGCCGCGGCTGCATGTCTTAGTTCTGTAATAGCGAATAAAGAGAAGTTGGACGAGCTGAGTTTCCCGCATCTTTCTTACCCACAACCTAACACTGGCGATGAAGGTGGAATTCTGAGATGCAACGGATCAGCGAGCATGTGGCTGTCGAACCTAAGGAAGAATCAGAACAATGGCCGGAACCAACACGCCACCTGAAGACTGGGAATTGTACGTTGACGGATTCCACATGTTCTTGAAGGAGGCGACCTGATGAACATTTCAGAACAGAGGAAACGAGCTGTTTTCCTCACGCATTGTGGACCCGCTGTTTTTAAAATGGCCAAAGCTCTCTCGGCACCCAATGATGTAAAAACAATAGCCTGGCTGGACCTGGAGAGAATTCTGAAGACCCACTACACCCTGCCGATATCCTGCCTAATCAAGAGGCATGAATTTTACCAGAGAGTCCAGAAGGACGGGGAGAGCATCAACGATTTCGCTGTGAACCTGAGGGACATTGCCAGGGCCTGTGAGTTCCTAAATGTGGACAAGGCAATGAGAGACCGCATAATCCTGGGACTCAGGGACCTAACACTACAGAGCCAACTCCTGATGAAGCCCAAAAGAACTCTAAAAGAGGCCATCGAAGAAGTATTGGCTGTGGAAGCATCCCAGAAATCCACCGCAGGCATGAGAAAAATGAACAAGGCACCACAGCTCCCACTGAAAGAAGCCGCTGCCATTCACCATGAGGACCTTGAATCCGAGTCAGACACAGATGATAATGAGGATGTGAACCAACTCCTCTCAGAACAGAGCCAAAGAGGCCAAGACGGAAAGAGGAAGGACTTTTGCTGTGCAAGATTTGAGGGAAACCACCCCAGGTCAGAATGCCGTTTCCACGATGCTATCTGCCAATGATGTGAGTGGTGAGGGCACATCACGAGGGAATGCCGAGCATCCAAACCCCACACCAGGAGACAAAGACAGAACATGCCTCCACGGAGCAGAGAAAACCAACCCAAGAACTGATGTTGCCAATTCAACCAAAGCCAACAAAACAATGTGTCAGCCACTGGAAGAAGTGAGATGCATCAAACAGTGATGGTGGGCCACTCCAGCATGACAAACACATGGAAAGTCCACATTCAAGTCACCATAGAGGGTAAGCAATGCCAGATGGAAGTGGATTCTGGATCATACCTATCGATGGTATCCTGGGACACCATCAAATGGCTAAAACCCAGCCTAACCAAAGACCAGCTGAAAAAACACTAACCTTAAAAGACTATCAAGGGAATAAGATTCCCATGGTTGGTATCGGAAAATTCAGAGTGACTTTTAAAAACTACTCCGGCATCCTGCCATTAACTGTAGTCAACCAGGACTGCTAAGCCTGCTGGGGCTGGAATGGTTCAAACCATTGGGGATAGAAATCACCAGAATCCACGGCATCATTGACAGCGAATGGGAAGACAGCCTAATGGAAGAATTCCGGAACATCTTCGACAGAAAATTGGGCAAGTACTTAGGGTCCCCCATCTCATTTAATCTGGACCCCACAATAGTTCCAATGAGACTAAAAGCGAGGCAGGTTCCCTTCGTGCTTAAACCAAAAATAGACAAGCAGCTAGATAAGCTCAACGCCCAGGGGATCCTAGAACTCATTGACCATGCAAGATGGGAAACCTCTATCGTCACTACAGTAAAGCCTGATGGGGCCATGCACATCTGAGCTGACTATAAGGCCATCCTGAACCACGCCCTACAGCAAAGCGCGTACCCCGTCCCAGTGGTGCAACACCTTTTACATTCCCTGGGGCAGGGGAAAGTTTTCACAAAGCTTGACCTCACATAAGCCTACTAACAATTACCGTAGATGCTGAGACAGCAGAAGCCCAGATAATAGTAACACAGAGAGGGGCGTTCAAATGCAAGCATTTACAATTCGGGGTCAGCGTAGCTTCGGGGCTGTTCCAGAGTCTCATAAAATGCCTACTACAAGGACTAAAAAAGAGTGGTGCCTTATTTCAATGATATCAGCTAAGGACAAAGAGCAATTATAAGAACACCTAAGGAAAGTCCTAACCCGATTCAAAGTAGCTAAAAGGAAAAAGGAAAAATGCCAACTAACAGCCAACAAGGTAGAATTCCTGTGCTACTTAATAGACAATGAAGTAATTCACCCCATGGAAAGCAAAATTAAAGCAATCAAAGAAGCCCCCAGGCCAACAAACAAGGCAGATTTGCAATCCTTCCTGGAACGTATTAACTTTTACAATATATTTTTACCACAAAAGGCGACAGCTGCAGAGTTGCTCCACAGACTGCTTGACAAGAAGGCAGTCTGGGCCTGGGAGCAAAAGAAAGAAATAGCATTCCGTGGAATCAAAAACATAATCACATCAGACTGCGTGCTCATCCAGTACAGCGAGACTTTACCACTAATCCTAACCTGCGACCTATCACTATTTGGGCTTGGCGCAATAATCAGCCACATACTTCCGGATGGAAAAGAAGCCCCCATAGCCTTTTATTCAAAGACATTGTCCAAACCGGAACACAATTACAGTCAACTCGACAAAGAAGCGCTAGCTGCACTCACCGGAATCAAGCGATTCCACAAATACATCTACAGAAGAAAGTTCACCGATCACAAACCACTGCTTGGGATCATTGCAGGGAACAGAGCCACCCCAAACATCCTGTCACCTAGGATGACGTGTTGGACTGAGTTCCTAGCCGCCTACGACTATGACTTAATATACCGACCCAGAAAGGACATCAATCATGTCGAAGCACTCAGCCGATGCCCCCTGCCTATTCTGGATGAGGACCCAGTGCCAGCCACATCTACACTGCTAATAGAAACTCCCCAAAAAGTGACAGCGACAGCGGCCAACATCGTGAGAGCAGTGTCTTGTATAGCCTTAAAAAAAATCTGCTAATCTTTCAATAGTCAACCCAAAAAACCTCATAAAGTCATGAAAAGGAATTATAGTAATTATAATGCAGCACAACCTTTATCACAGCTTGATTCTATCTAATTCTGATCTTTTATTTAATCTGATTTGAAAAGTTTTATTTGAAAATGAATTGTTATTTGAAATGTTTTGTAGGATATCAGTTGGTTTGATAATCCCAAAAACAGTACTGGAGCCCTAACTACGAGACTTGCAAATGATGCTTCTGAAGTAAAAGGTGTAAGTAATAACACATTTCTAATCTGTTCCCAGAGCTTTTCGGCATTATCCAAAATAGAAATTTAACCATGGATTAACTATTTGCAATGGCAAATATGCAGATGTCAAGTTCCTAATGGAAGTTTTAGGTCAGGGGTGTCAAACTCATGGCGTCACATTGTCTTCACATGAAGTGTCGTGGTTTTTCCCCCTTCACTAAAACAGGGTGGGCATGGCCAGCACATGATGCACCCAAGCCACAGGCCATTGTTTGACACCCCTGTTTTAGATTGTATCAGTCAGAAAGAACAAGAAAGCGCAAAACAAATGCTTCTGAATACCTTTCACTGCAGTTTTCCACTTTTCTCCTTATGAAGAGTCAGTCCGTTTACTACATTGTTTTAACGTTCTTTTTCTCCCCCTCCCTCTCTCAGGCCACAGGGGAAAGGTTAGGTATGATTGCTCAAAACATTGCTAATCTTGGGACTGGAATTATTATTTCATTCGTGTATGGCTGGCAGTTGACCCTTTTACTTCTGGCTCTTGTGCCAATCATTGCAATAGCAGGGCTCATTGAAATCAGAATGTTATCTGGACATGCTGAGAAAGATAAGAAGGAACTTCAAGGTGCAGGGAAGGTAAGTTTTTAATCAATCATTCTCTTGAACAGCCAATTCAACTATTGGTGAACAAGCTGTATTGAAACCAAGAAACACTGAGATATATAAAAGACAATTTAACGAATGTTTCTTGATTCTCTGTCAATCTATAGTAGTCTCTCTCAATTTGTTGTTCTCCAGATATTTCATGATTACATCATCCAATACTAAAGTTAGATTGTATCAAATACTAAATACTAATACTAAAGTTTAGATTGTATCAAATCAAGGTTTCAGGTTGGACAAGATAAAATCCTAATAGAGGACTAATTAGTTGGCAAACTCCTGTTTGGGAACGCACATTGATCTTGCATCAAGTCTTGTTTAATTTGAGTACCTATTGTTTTCTTTTTTCTTATATTTGGAAGAAAATCTTCAAGACAGTTATTAAATTTATCCTCTCTCCCCGGTTGTTCTCCAGGTCAAAGCACAATGCTGCAACTAATGTCTCTCCCTTCATCATAGTGATTACAGTGATTCTGGCCAGCTTTCCAGGATTTAGAATGAGAATGAGTTTTCCTTTGACTCCCAATCTTGCACATAAAAACTATTCAAAAAAAGAAGCAAAAGACATTTACTGTAGTCATCAAGTTCTGATAATATCAGAACATTCTCAGATTTTGTCCAGTAGCCCTTCAGGAAATCAAAATGCAGTCTCTTGTTCCTCAAAAACCTCCACATCTGTATTAAGCCATAATTTTGGCTTGGTGTTATAAATGAAACCATAATATTTGTGGCTTATTCAATAAAACATACCTAATTTTTCTATGAATTAGTATGATAAATAATGCTCTGTCAGTGCTTACAACAGATACCTGGAAGTATCTGTTGTAACTGTGCTCTGGTTCCAAAATTAAAATTTGATGGCAAATATATAAAACTATTTTGACATAGTACTAGACTAGAGTATGGTGTTTCTTGTTTTATAGTCTTTTTGTCAAGTTGTTTTTTCCTCAGGGTGATGGTCTTAAAATGTCATCCTGATATGTTAGGATTAGAAAATGCCAATTTGGTAAATGGTGTCCTAAATCTAAAATTCAAATTGGAGAGTTCATTATTTTCCTGTTAGTACCATATTTTTCACATTTTATAGATTGCAACAGAAGCTATTGGAAATATTCGAACTGTAGTTTCCCTCACTCGAGAAAGAAAATTTGAACAAATGTATGGAGAAAATTTGCAAGGACCTTACAAGTAAGATATATTAAAATGTCTTGCCAACATTCGGAAAAAAAAGACTTAGAAATCAAAGATTTTATCACAGCCTTTTCCAGTACAGTGCCTTCCACTAGTAAAAAATTAAATCTTCTATCATTCTCTAGAACAGGGGTGTCAAACTCACATAGTCACCATGGCTCACATGGTGTATAAGAAATTTTTCCCCTTCACTAAACCAGGCATGGGCATGGCTAGCACGTGACGCATCTGGCACGCGGACTAGGAGTTTGACAGCTCTGCTCTAGAAGGTTCCCAAAATACAGGTTTGTACCATATTAGGAAAGATTAGCATGAATTATTCATATGGAATTTTGATAGATTTTATTTTATTGATAAATGTGTAGAAAATGTATCAGCATATTAAAAACCCAGCTTTTTTCCATTTTTTGTTACAGAAATTCTATAAAGAAAGCACATCTTCATGGACTAACTTTTGGCATTTCCCAAGCAATGTTGTACTTCTCCTATGCAGGCTGTTTTCGTTTTGGTGCCTATCTTATTGCGAATGGATATATGGATTTTAAGTCCGTATTCTTGTATGTAACACTGCAATATTTGAAAAACTATTCCAATTGCATTATAGTATACTAGAATCTTCTTCTTCCTCTTCCTAGTATATTCCCACAGATGCAGGGTCCATTTTTTGGATCATTGAACACCATTTTGCATGGTCAGCTATGTCTCTAGAGCGCAGGCCTACAACTTGCATATCTTTATTAATAGTGTCTTGCCATCTTTGTCTTGGATGCCTGTGAGGTCACTGGCTATTGACTTCTGGTTGGTAGGCAGTCTTGGCCACAGTGTAATAACGTGCTGCTCTCTGAACATGTCCATAGCAGCGGAGTCGGCCTTCTCTCATCCTCTCTATAACTGGTGCCATACCAAAACGCTGTTGAATGGTGTCATTTGTGATGTGGTCAAGAAGGGAGATACTCAATATCCAACGGAGCATTTTCATTTCAAAGGCATGGAGTTAGCTTTCAGTCCCTGTTGTTGCTGCACAGCATTCAATGCCATACATTGCAACTGGGTAGATGGTTGTCTTGTATCATAGTATATAAGAATAACATATCTGAAATTGTGATTGATTAAATACCAGATAGATGGACTTGTAGGACAGTTAAAGCCTCAGGAGGAAGAATAATGTTTATGTGGAATGAACAATCTGCCAGGCAGGTGCTTTAGAAATATTCGGGAACCATGTGCAGCAAAAATTAAACAAAAGAATGAATAACTTGATTCTTGAAATAAATAGAGAGCATTACCTAGACTCTTCCCTTCTTTGACTGACTATTCAAGCAGAGCAAAGGTTGTGTATTAAGAGAAAAAAAATAGCATTCCTACATAATCTTTGGAGTGTCTGAATATGGTGGCGATCTGAAAGTTGGGGAGCCACATCTCTTGAAAGAGCAGTAATTGCTTTTCCCAACAATTGTTTAAGCATTTAATTAAAAGAGGAAATATACACAGTTCATGTTTCAGTTTCACTTATAAAAAAGGCAAGTAGCTCATATTTGAGTTAGTTTTTGCATGACTGATTTGAGATTTTTGCACATGCAGCTTTTTCAGAATAGAATAATAAATCATCTATAGTATTATAGGACAGTGATGAACCTATGACATTCCACAAAATTTGGGTAGCTGCCAGCATTTATCAACACCTACCACAATTATTTTTAAAAAACATGTCCCATTCTTGTGAGATTTTTGGAGGCTGCATGAGAATGGAGTGTGAGAATGGGATGTGCTCTTGTGCAGCTTCCAGACCCTCCAAAATTTGAGTTTATTTTACTTAGTTCATTTCATTAATTATTTGATGTTTCCTTATATAACACCACACATAATTAACTGAATATTTTACAAAACAAACGAATATTAAAAAAAATGTTTCTCTTTTGTTCAGGAGAGGGAGGCAATGACACACCAGCAGAAATAAGTTAGGCATTTTCTGAATTTTTAGCACACTGAGGCAGTCATGCTATTATGTCAATCTTCCACAACCTGGTCTCTTCCAAATGCATTAGCAATGTTATTCTATAAATTCCCAGCCATTATAATAACTTCTCATTAACAAGAAACAAAATAATAAAATGTAATATAAATATTATTAAAACCCCTCTCTTAATGTAATGTGTGTTTGCCCTGCTTTCTTATTTTGCTGTTCCAGAGTATTTTCCTGCATTGTATTTGGTGCCATGGCTGTAGGGCAGGCGTTTTCATTCACACCAGATTATGCCAAAGCCAAGATATCTGCTGCTCAAATGTTCATGTTATTTGAAAGAGTCCCATCAATAGATAATTACAGTGAGGAAGGAAAGAAGCCTGTAAGTTGATTTTTGGACAGAATTTCAACACTTGTCTTAGCTAATGTGAGGACTGTAGTTAAGAGCTATTTATTGCTATAGTAAAAAGATTAATTTGTACCATGTTATTCCAATACATGCAGTTTAATAAATTATCTTTTCACGGGCCTTCTTTTCATGGGCACAGATAAGGCCAACTATCTATTTCAAAGTATATAATGTCATATGGAACTGTGCTATTGCTGCAGTAATTATGATGCAAAAATCAAGATATTTCATTCTTCACATTATCTTACTGGTTTTTCTGTAATCCAAATTTGTTGATTTGTTTAATCTAGGTTTTGTTAAAATTGTTCAATTATCAGAAGTCCTAACTAAAATCTAGAGTTATAAACCCAGCACATCTGAATTGTGCAAGAATAATATGTTCATTAGAATTCCTCAATGCCGTCTGCCTTCTGACGTTATAATATTAAATTACAGCTCTTTCAATCTTAGAAGGTATTAAAATATTATTTCAATTGGAATGGTAGCTATTAGTTTTAGCAAAGGAAAGTTACAAAATAATTTGCTTGCTTTACTTTTAATATGTCTCTTATGTATATGTACCATTTGTCTTAACTGCATGGGTGTTGCTTGGATTCTAGGAAACAGTTAGTAGCAATATAGCATTTAAGGAAGTGGTTTTCAACTATCCAACCCGGCCAGATGTTCCAGTGCTTCAAGGTCTGAATATTGCAACAGGGAAAGGGCAAACCCTGGCGCTTGTGGGAAGCAGTGGCTGTGGGAAAAGCACATTAATCCAGTTGCTTGAAAGATTCTATGATCCCCTCAGTGGAGAAGTGGTAAACTCATTTGGATTTTGCTTATATTGCTTTCAAAATTCAAATTAATGTAATATGTAATTAATGTAATAGATAATAAAACATTCCTACCCAGAATTGAATCCTAGGTGCCAAAATGGGGTACCATTTTATTTTTAAAATATATTGTTATTTTCCTCTCTTTTGTAATTTTTAATATCTTTAGAAAAAGGTGACCCTTTTCATGCTGTGGTATAGGAATAAAGAGTGAGGTCCCCAACTCTTACTCTGGGTCATTGTCCTTCAAGACTTAACTGGAGGCACCCCCATGTCAAGAATTGTTGTTAGTTGTGAAGTCATGTCCAATCCATCGCGACCCCTTAGACAACATTCTTCCAGGCCTTCCTGTTCTGTACCATCCCCAGGGTCCATTTAAGCCTGCTCCTACTGCTTCAGTGACTCCATCCAGCCACCTCATTCTCTGTCATCCCCTTCTTCTATTGCCCTCAATCTTTCCCAGCATTATGCTCTTCTCCAGTTAGTCTTTCCTTCTCATTAGGTGGCCAAAGTATTTTGTCAAGAATAGTTTAGGGCAATTTAAGAGGTGATGAATTTGTGACTCTTGGGTGTTGCCTGTAGCTTCCATCCTTTTCCTAATATTGATTATGCCTTGAACTTAATCCAGAACATCTTCGATTATAAAGTCATCTTGGGATGAGGTAAAATTTGATCCAAAAATTGCCTTTCTGCTTCATTCATTCATTCATTCATTCATTCATTCATTCATTCATTCATTCATTTCATTCAAATTATGCATTGTTTTCATATTTTCATCTTATTTCTTGTGGGATTTTCTGTCATTTTTGTAATGATTCATTGATTAAATGCCATTTTCAACTCTTAGCAACTAAACATAGATTTTTCCACATGACAATCTATCCATAACCTGTTCTTTCAAGTATCCTTACCTTATACTCACTGTCACCATAACTAAGTCCATCCACTTTCTGGCTGGTTGCCCTCTTCCTTTTTTGTAAGGAAGAGCTTTCAGTATGTCTGATAATGTTTTTGAAAGCCAATAACCATTGTATATCACAAAAATATCCACCTCTAAGCTGTCTTAACTCTTCTTTTTCAGCTTTTGAATGGTGAAAATGAACAGCAGTTAAATATTCAGTGGTTGCGGTCTCAGATTGGAATTGTTTCTCAAGAACCAGTTCTGTTTGGCTGCAGTATTGCAGAAAATATTGCCTATGGTGATAACAGTAGGGAGGTACCATTTGATGAGATATGTGAAGCAGCCAAATCAGCCAATATACATTCCTTCATTGAATCTTTACCAGAGGTAAGTTCCTTTTCTAACATGTTCTTCATTGAATTCCTAGGCATGTTTCCTTGGTAGCAAAGAGACTCTTCTTGATGGTATATTGTTAAGGAATTTTTCTTGTATGGAAATTAAGCAAAATGTTACCATAAAGAATAACAGGTTGTATATTCATGATAGCACTCAACTAATTACATTAAAAAAAACCTTTTAGCAAATTAAAATTAGAGGGTTAGAATTACCTCTGATTATGCTCATTGTATGATTTCTTATTGTAATTTGTTTATTTATTCCTCATTTCTATACCACCCATCTCACTTAAATGATTCCTAAGATTACTTGTTATTATTCTACTACAAGAATTTTCACAAAGATGAGCATGAAATTGAGTTTGTGTCTGTATAAAGAAGTGTAACCCGGGACCATGCTATTTTCAAAAAAGATGTTTTACTTGTATTTTGTGTGTGTGAAAACTCAAATAAACTGTATTAAAAAAAAAGAATTTTCACACTATTGAATCTGTATTCTAATGGTGGAAGAGCCTTCAAGGATTGGTTCACTCTGCTAAATTCTTACTATGCATAGAGGTAGTTTTTGATCGATGAGCACAGTTGAGCTCAATGTTTATGTTGCTAAACAAGACAAATGGAGTTTTATTCTGTTTCACAGCTTTTTTTACCACAAGTTTAAGTGAATCAATTGCAGTTCTTAAATTAGTAATATGGTTGTTAAATAAATCCCAATGACTTTGCTTGTCAGAAGGTCACAAAAAGTGATCACATGACCCTTGGACAGTGCAACTATCATTAATATGACCCAGTTGCCAAATGGTTGAATTTAAATCATGTGACCATGGGTTGAAAAATGGTCATAAGTCACTCAGTATTGTTGTAACTTCAAATGCTTACTAAACAAAAGTCAAAGACTATCTGTACACTAATATTTTCCCTAACTATTTCTACACAAATGTATATATGTTTCAACAAAGGTTCTAGATAATTTATAAGTCTAAAACAATTAATAATTGGTACTTAAGTACCTGAAGAATTATTTAATCGAATCTGAATCAGCCCAACTTAGTGGGTCATTCTAGGGTGGACTGTATTCAGTTTCTCACTTTAGCTAGACGTTCCCCCTATCCCTGCTGTTACCAATTATCCCTGGTCAGTACATTAGCGGGGGAAGTTGCAGTGATCTAATCGATAGATAACAGAGTTCAGGCTCCTGAGTCAGGAAAGGTCACAACTGCATAATTGGCTGAATGTGTCCTGGTCATGCCCACCATTTCTTGCTTCAGGAAAATTCTCAGAGTAACCACCTGCTTCTTCAGAAGAAATGTCATCCTATTTAAAATTGGAATTAGTTTGGAACAAAAGGCTTCTCCACAGAGAGAAGTTCCATCATGCTCAAATTCAATTAGGTTCTATTCAATATAATTGTAGATCCTCACAACTTCCAGGCATCGAAACAGGACTCATACCAAATGTCCCAACTCAGCACAGATTTATATGTGTGTGTGTGTATGTGTACACACACACACACACACACACATATATAAATAATATAAATGTTATTATATTTTATAATATAATAAAATAAAAACTGGGAATTATAAATATACAATACTAGCTTGATACCTCTGCTTCACTACGAAACTATATTTTTGGGTAGGCTTAGTTTTTGGAGAGGAAAATAAGGAGGAAAAATTCTGCCTCTGCCTACCAGCATCCATTGGTATTCATCTGGCTAGCGTCCTGTCAGTGTGTGACAGAGCTGAGGGCTGTTTGGAAACTGAAACAGTATTTGCTGTGTGAGCAAGAAGGAGACAGTAAGGAGCCTGGACATGGTTTAGCTCAACTGTTCTGTACTAAAGCTGCTTGGTGCTGTGAAACTGAAACTGAAACTGAAACTCCTCTCCACCTGAAAAACACAAGCAGTGTTTTGCATTTGGAACAGATTTCTTTCCAGATGGGGAGGGGGAATAGAACTCCTTAGCATCAGAGCATGTGAATAATAAGATACGAAGTGCTAATGGTCTGATGGTCATTTTGAAAAATCCTTTCTTAGTGAGCACCTAGAAGCCAATACGTGCCAAATTTTAAGTTTGTAGGCTTTACAGTTCTGGAGATTTTGTGATGATGTGTGAGTGGTATTTCGTATGCTTGAGCCTGAGCCCCCAGCAAAAAGAATTCATATGCAGTTGTTATTATGACTAACAACTACAACTGGGATAGAGATTTCAACAGTAAGTCATTGTATTTGTAAGTTAAGGCACCGAAGTGACCAGAGTTGATTATCACCAGTTTTACAATTATTGTTAAATAAATCTATTCTCCCAAATGGGTGCCTAAAACTGGCAAAAACTATTGGAAACTGGCAAAAAAAATCGCAATTTCAGCCATGTCGCCATGGATGCTTGCAACGTCATAATTGCCATGCATCTGAAACATAACCATGGACCTAGTGGGTGGAGTGGATGGAACAGTGTAACATTTTACGTTAGCCAGAAATGTTTTCCAAGTCCATCAAAATTTCAAAAGGTTGTTAAACAACCAGTCAAGACTTATCTATAATCTATTTTAGCCAGAGTTCTTTGAACTTGATATATGCAAAAGTTATTATGAACTATGACTAACAACTGCCAGCTGAACTGGAAGTATTCTTTCATTTTTCCCAACTGCCATAAAATGATTGAAATGTCAGTTCACTATCTACAGACTCTTGGATTTTGAGGTATATATCCTTGGTACATGGCTGTTTATATGACATTGGCAGGATTAATTAATTAAGCTTTTTACTTCTTGATAAATTCTACTCTTGCTAAATTTGGAGCATTGGCAGACTACTAAGAGACTATATTTTAACCGAGATGCTCCTCTAAAAGAAAGAATTGTACTTCAGAGAGAGAAAGCAGGCATTTTACACGCAAAGAATCCTAGCTTGTTCACTGGAATGAACTAATTGAATTAATGGACACACCATTATTTATTGAAATACTGTTGATTGTGTATAGAAATACAATACTGCTGTTGGTGACAAAGGAACTCAACTGTCTGGGGGCCAAAAGCAGCGCATCGCTATTGCCCGTGCTCTCCTCCGCCAGCCAAAAATTCTGCTGTTGGATGAAGCAACCTCTGCTCTTGACACAGAAAGTGAAAAGGTAACTATTTTGTCACTGCAGAAAACATAGGCTTCCAATTGGAAAGATTTCAGAATACAGCATATCATTTGAGGCAGACCATACCTAAATACCAAGCACATGAACAAAAGTCTCAATTTTAATTCCTGGTTTTTTCAATTGAGCTGGAAATGTTCCTTCTTCTAATTGTTGTTGATGCTATTTAAAGAACTTGATGAGTTGAGATGAGATAAGATAACATCTTATTAGCCTTCAGTGTTGGATTCCTGATACACTGAAGTTTCGGAATGGAGCCTTTTTGGCAAACGGCAGGAAAATGGGGAGGGGGAGTTTTCTGCCTCTCATCCTTCTCTCAAGCTCAGCACAGATGGACATCTCAAATAGGCTCCTTCCTGAGCTTTCAGCATTGCAATCCTGGGATGTGCATTATTTTCTCGAACAACATTTGATCACTTGAAAGGAACAGGTTGCGCCTGGAGAGAAGGAACAAGAGGCAGCTCCTGGCCCTCATTGGCTCAGCTGATCCATGGGCCCGATTAAGGGGTTGAGCAGCCAGGAGGTGACCAGGGAAGGGAAGAACTGCCTCCTGTGCTGGCCACACCCACCCCTTCACTAGGGCTTATTTATGGGGGGTAGGGTGAAAAATAGGTAACAGCTAAAGATGATTGTCTTTTTATGGTTGCTCATTATATAATTAATTCAATAGTTCATTTTAACAATGAAAAATTATAGTCAAAATTACATATTCTCAGAGAATAGAAGAGGACTTTTTATTTATTAGAATATATTTTTTCTTTTCAATAGGTTGTTCAGGAGGCTCTGGATAAAGCCAGACAAGGTCGTACCTGCATTATAATAGCTCATCGTTTATCAACAGTGCAGAATGCTGACACTATAGCTGTAATCCAGAATGGGAAAGTCATGGAACAAGGAACACATCAGCAGCTACTGGCTCAAAAAGGAATTTATTATTCACTAGTCAATGTACATGCAGGAACAGCTCATGTATAAATAAGAAAGTGAACATTACTTGAATTAATTTGATTGCTGGATTATGTGGCATTAAATTGGGTTGACTCTTTACAATTGCACAGATGGATTTTCAGCAGAATGATCTACCCCCAATTTTGTCCTTCAGGTCTTCCATAGGTGCATTGATTGCCACAGTAACTAAAAACATCTGTCTTGCTGCTGGTTGCCCTTGTCAGGTCCCTAAGGACCAAGAAGGATACATGGAATTACTTCTGAATAGTTTCCTTTATTGTTCCTCATCTATAGGCAGAAATCTTGCCAAAGAAAAGCAAATATTTACATCACCATAAATATATTATGGGAATTGCTAGGGCGGAACTGTTTTAACTCTTCCTCCTGATCAGATTTCCCATGCTTTGCTGACTCTTTGCCTTTTGGAATGCAGCTCCTAATCCAGATTTCATTCCACCACAGTTCTCTTCTTTCCTTCTTTCCTTTCCTTCTACCTTTCCCAGCATTATAGACTTTTTTAAATAGAACTAGGTCTTCATATAATATATGAAAAGTATGATATTCAAACCTGATCATTTATTTGTGCCTTGAGAAAGAAATCTATTGATTTATTTCATGATCCAATTCTTTTCTATTCATGATATTCTCAGGAATCTTCTCCAACACCAAAGTTCAAAAACATCAACACTCCTTTTATTTTGCTTCTTCAATGTCCAACTTTCACATCCATAGTGTTACAGAGAAAATATGGTCTGCACGTTTCTGATTGTTTAGATATACACATCTTTTCTCAGGACTTCATGGCTATTCTACCAATGCTAGTCTAAAGGAGTATTTCCTGGCTACTGGTTTCTTTATTGTTGGCTGCTGGTTCCTAAAAGTGAGAAGTTGTCACTCCTTTACTGTTTTCCCAGCTTCCTGTAATATGTGGTATGCTCCACAGATTAGTTCAATAAATAAGGGAAGGATACACAGTTTTTACTCACTTCTCCCCAACCTGGAGTCAGTCTGTTTCATCATGTTATCTCCAGACTGTGAGTTCCCAACCAGTATTTGTGGGGACTAGCAAGTACAGAAGATCAGAGGTGGGATTCTACCATTTCTGACTGGCTCTGTAGAACCGGTAGTTCTGAAGAGCAGCAGACATAGAACCAGTTCTATGTCTGCTGCTGTTTTGCCCCACCTGCCCACCCAGGCTCTTACCTGACCTTTATTTCCTGCTTTTTCAATCTCAGCTGCTTTGCGCGGCACAGCTGCAGTTGAAAAAGCAGGAAAATAGTGCTTTTTCAAATGCTGCACACCTGCACGCAGCGCTCCTCAGCTGTTCAGACAGCATAACTGACGACGTTCCACATGCGCGCACATGCGCACACAAATCGCAAAATCACCAAACCGGTAGTTACACCAGTGGGATCCCACCCCTGCAGAAAATGCTATTCACATTCTTATATTAAGCAAGATAGGCCAAATTTCTAAGAAGAATCACCAGCATTAAACATCTGTTTTGCTGGCTAAACTGAGTACTTTGTATCTTGACAGTTATACTTGTATGATGACTTTTATCACCATCATCTTCCCCATGAGGTAATGGATTAAGAAGTTTCCTTTGTGACCATACAATGCAAATTGATGTACTTCAGGTTTTAAATGTATATCTAGAGCTTGAAACTTGTATTTTGGAGGAGGGAAAGAGGTATTATAGACAAGCTTTAAAAGCAAGTGTTGTTTCCAGTGAAAAGAGACAGTTGCTAATATCTGTTGAATGTCATTAAAAATAAAGCTTCAATAACCAGTGAGTGTTGAGTCATTTCTAGGAATATACAGTTTTTAAAAATCACATCCTGTTGTGTGTGTGTGTGTGTGTGTGTGTGTGTGTGAGTGTATACATACATACACACACACACTCACACACACTAGCTGATAACCCAACGATGCGCAGGTATTTATTTATTCCAATCCTGTATTAGACAGGAAAAGGAATGAATTATATCTATAGTGTCAAATCAAAGTAACTTTATTTACAGGGTTTTAAAAGTATAAGTAGAGTATACAAATTATAAAGGAAGCTGTAGATGTAACAGGTATATCTCTCCTATAGTGTAGTCAGGCCCCACGGTGTTGTACCAAATGTCTAGATGTAGCAGCTCTATCTCTCTTATCCTTTAGTCAGGCCTCATGCTGTTGTACTGTCTCTGAAGTTGTATATGTAGTAGCTTTCTCATGCAGTGTCGCAAGTCTTCTATTCCGCTTCTTGGGAGTTTCTTGTCTATGCTGGTACTTCATTTTTTTCACCTTTCATTGCACTTAGCCAATCGCCTGATGTTTCCTTGGAGGCATCTTGAGCCTGGGCCTGTTACCTCAAGCACTGTGGTAAGAATTAGAGACCTAATTGCTCTGGCCAACAGCCGTGGAAAAATTCTGCAGGGAACAGTCTTTGAGATGATTATCTGCATTAACAGGCACCTCCCCCAACATCTTGCCCTCTTTGCTTGAAGCTGAGAGCCCCCTTTTTTTATAAGAACCAATCCCCCTTACCAGAGGGAGCCCTTTTGTGGAGTACTGTGAAGCCATTACCATGGCAACTCCACTGTGCTGTACAGTAGAAGCCATTTTAAGGTGTGTGCACATGCGTGTGCACAGGCACACACACACACAAATACATAAGGGGTGTTAGGGTGTCTTACCCCCACAATATTTTTTTCCAGAGAGTAAGTCATCTGTGTACCACGTTTGGTTAAAATTACTTGAGACGTTCCAGAATTATGCTGGAACACACACACACACATCCATTTATATACATACAGATACACACATGGAAATCAGCAAAGGCAATTTCTTTATGAAAAGCCCAGGTCCCTTATCTTTGTTTTCTTTTCTTTTTTTTAGCTTGACAAACTTGTCTCACAGTTGCTTCCACTTTCCTTTGCATCTATTTGGGTCTTCCTTCAAAGTTCTTCTAATTTCCCCCCATGAATTGGCTGTTACTCCCTTTTTGGGGTAGTATTTATCCATTACATCATACAAATGTTTGTATCTCCCCATTTTGTAAGTAAGGCTATCCTCTAACTGCTCCATTTTGTTGTTTGAAGTAAAAAATAAATAAATAGAAAGATTTGTATAATCTGAAGAAAAACCAGAGTTTCCTGTTTGAATGTGCCTTGGCTTCCACCTACATCCCAAGTGGAAGTTAGATCAATCAATCAGCATGTAGGATGTGCATCTGCACAAAATGTATGCTTAAGATTTGGGAGATATGTGTGTCAACTCATCTGCAATCATCTGCAACCTATGCTTGCTATCAACTTTGCAGCATAGGATGCATCGAACCTACATACAGTTGCAGACAAGTTTAAATCAAACTTTAGTAATAAGAAAGTTTATATCACACATCTTCAGTAACATACAGTCAGTAATAACTTTCACAAAATGGAGGATGAGTGAGTAATCCATGCTAAATGATGAGACAATAGACAAAGAATCCTATATTAAAGATTCTTAAGATAGACTAGCTTTAGCTTTGCTAGTACAACATAGTCTAGCAACAGTAATCTCACTTACAAAGGCAAGATAAGGGCAATGCAGAGGGAACGGGAAGAGCAGCTTTGCCTTCCAAGTCAGATTTCAAGGCAAAGCAGCTCCTTCTCCCTCTCCCTTTTAATCCTTAATCCTTCATTGTATGTTCTCCATCTCATTGCACCACACTCAAGTTTCCCCCCCACCTTCCATTTAAAACTTTTTTCACAAGGAAACATAGAAACTTCTGTGGAAAGGGAACTTCATGAGGACAGTGGTGACACCCAAGCAGGAAAAGCCCAAAGGGAACATCAGGCCAGCCATAAAACAAACTTGCATAGGAAAAAAGATTTAATAAAAGGTATTGAAAGAAGCCCCCTAGACAAAAGCCAAACAAACTTGCATAGGAAAAGAGATTTAATAAAAGGTATTGAAAGAAGCCCCTAGACAAAAGCCAAGTAATTAAGAAAGCTAGGGAAACAAGAAAAAGAAATCCCTTACAAACAACAGGTCATGCCAAATCAGCAAAACAAATAGACAAAAGACACGCGAAATAAATTCCATAGCAGACAGGAGATTGCCACCAAACAAATATAAGAAAACATTAGGATGAAACTGATAATCAAATCAAACCACCCCGCGGAATTTACCCTCTGGCGGAAATGAAGACAACCCCCTGACAGGATTTAAAACATTAAGAAATACAAACACAAGCACTCACACACAAAAGGAGAAAAGGTATAAAAATCAGGGGTTTATTATACAAAGATGGCTAGCCCCAGGAATGCAGACTTCTTGCTATCTCTTGCCTTCCTGAAAAATAAAAGGAATCCAAGCAGTTGTCTCTGTCTTTAAACCAGAGTTCTCCCATCAGGAAAATCGAGCTCCCAGAAGAAAGGCATTTTCTAGCCTTTCAACACTTCAAAGAACAAACTGGGGCTGATCATCCTGTTTTGAATTAAAGAGGCCATGCAGAAAGGCGGAAGGGAGGGAAATGCTGCTTTGCCAAGATCAGTTTACAAATGGCTGTCCCATGTGGCCAGTAACTACAGCCCACAATACTGAGTTCTGCAGATTTCCAAAAGATAAGCAAGGCATTGTGAGGGGTGGAAATGGCTGTGGGGACCCCAAGGACATGAAGCAGAGCATGGGGGTATCTCCGGATGGGGAGGCCCAAGGCAGGCATCCTTGAGGCTCCCCGTGCAAGTTTATCAATGCCTGCATTCACCCCTGCATTTGTTTAACATATGCATTGGGGCGATCCAGGATGAGGGCTCTTTCACCTAACAAGTTTCAATTAAGGTCCTCCTGACTTATGATTGAAATGGGCCTGTTCCATTACTGTCATAAATTGAGGATTACCTGTATATGGTTTCAATGTGGAATGAGACTGGCAATCATCCAAATTAAAACTTGCACATCCATTCTGTTTTTTCATGCACAATCTACTGTGATTCGCAGCTGCTTGATGTGCCAATCCTTCTTGCTATCCAGTGTCTTGGTCCTAGCCAGGTGAGGCTTGTAAGAATTAGG